GATTTGGTAAAAGAGTTTAGAAAATTATTTTATAAATTTGAAATTTTAAGAAATATTCTCCTTTAATGAAGTCTGTTGATTTCAGAATTAGCACAATCCTTGATAAAGTACAGGATACTAGTTGGGGTGGTATCATAAAATCTACAATTTCTCCAATAATTATTGCTCCAACTTATTTGGAGATCGTGAGGATCGTGAGGTGCGGTCTGGTGTGACGTAGATTTTAGAAAAACTTTTTCTTTATCGTGCCAACGTTTCGATCTTTATTGAGATCATCTTCAGGGCTCAAAGTGTTTGTTTTCAGTGTAGATGTGTCATTATTGTGTGTCGTGTTGAGAGTGCCCAACTCAAACTCCTAAAATAAAAATATTGCTAAATAACATAAAAGGTACAACTCAACATTGATTTTAAAGTGCCATTTTTGCCATTTTTCAAATGTCGTATAATCGGATTGGATTCTCGGCGACAAATGAGATGACCACGGAGAACTTTATTGAAGTGTACTTCATTTTAATCAATTAAATTCACTATTTTTCGTAATCCGTTTGACCAATTAATAACATGAAATTAATTAAGGTTTTTAGGTGAGACGAAAAAAAGTCAATGGCACGAGCGGGATTCGAACCTACGATCTTCGGCTAGATACGCCGCTGCTCTACCACTTGAGCTATCGTGACCTCGATACACTCGGGCACTAACTTCCCATCTCAACCACTCCTTTTGAATTTTCCCTCCTTTTTGCCATTTTTCAAATGTCGAGTAATCTATTCTCGGCGACAAACGGCAAAAAGAAGGAAAAATTCAAAAAGTGTGGTTGAGATGGGAAGTTAGTGTCCGAGTGGATCGAGGTCGCGATAGCTCAAATGTTAGAGCAGCGGCGTATCTAGCCGAAGATCGTGGGTTCGAATCCCGCTCGTGCCATTGACTTTTTTATCTCAACTAAAAACCTTAATTAATTGTAAGATATTAATTGGTCAAGCGGACTACGAAACTAGTGAATTATTATTAAGTATTCATGTCTTCGAATTTATAAGCATAAACTTTTACCTATTACGGACTTCAATTTCACTACAAGAACAAATGGATTAATAAAATTTATTGTTCATAAAGTAAACAATGTAGGACTAAGGCCCAAACATCAAAACAAAATTGGAATAAATTCATTTTCCTCTTATGATAAATTTAATTTTTGTAACATATAAAATTAAAGAAGAGAAATTTTTAAAAGTAATATATTAATAAAATAATTATTTAAAAAATTACATAAACTGACTATAGTCAAATTGAATGTATACTGCTAACACTAATTTGTATAAATCCGTTTTTTGTTTATTTTAGTAATGTATAAAACTATTTGTGAGCTCACAATTCCAGCCCAATGAGAGCAGACTGTTCATTTTATATTATTTTGTTCTACATTATCATTAAATTTTTTCTCCGAATAATATATCCCAGTTCAGCAAATAAATTTATTTTTGTCTTTTTGTCTTGTATACGTGGTTCAAAACGAAGTTTGGAAAAAGGTAAACAGAATTGCAAATGAATCGAAAAAACCCTGAAATATACTGAAATAATAACAAATTATAATGAAAATTGATAGTAATCAAATCGTTTCCGACAGATGAATAATTAACTAATCAATTAAACAAATTGACTGATCAATTTGGCTAGAAAATAAGAGAGAAAGTTTTCAATCGTACGGTTTCATCAAAAATACACGTTTACAAGCTATCATTAACAAATATTCACTAAAGATTTTTTTAAACTTGTCTACTAGAGAAAGTATTTAATTAGAAAATAGTAACCTTCTAAACGTTGTTAAAATGCAACTCTAATTTTGAAAAAAGTCTCTTTTATTATATTGTAGTTTTTTTTTGTTTTTTTTTTAATTTAGAGGATACGAGAAATAAAATTCTTTCTTTTTAAAAAAAAGTTTATTTAATTGATATCATAAAAGAGGTGCTTGGTAAGTTTATTGTTGATTGTTCAGCCCGGGAGTCTCCTCCGTCCTTTTCCTCTCTACCAAAAACAGAAACGTTTCCAAATATATAGCCGAAATGATAAAGGATCATAAATCGGAATGGGTCCGGTGATAAACTTAACGGTAACAACGACCGAGAATCCCCAAGCTCTCGTGGAATTGGGTCGTGTGAGGCCGATGAGGAAAGTGAAGGACCAGTTCTCGTCTAGTAACAAAAAGAAGCCGCAGAAGAATGATGAAAAAGATTTTTCAATCGGTTAAAACAAAGAACTTATCAATTTTTATCGACTATAACAAAAAAGTTGCACAACGTATCAATTTGAGTTTAATATCCTTGCCTTACTAAATATCAGTTATTCAATTTTAAAACCTGATGACGATGATTTAATAGAATTCGATTGGTCATCTGAATGTCCTGAGTGAATGTTTGACCATCCTGGGGAACACTTTTTCAATCGTCAGATAGCTCAACTTGCATTCATCTATAAAATTTCTTTTAATGTCTGTAATTCTTTGCGATGAAACCTCAAAGAATGTTTAGGTAAATTCAAAAAGCTTAAAGCTCCAGCAAAATTAATCTATAATACTCCACATTACATTGATAACATATAGATGACTTTGTTAATTTCAGTTCTCATGTTGAAATAGACACATAAACCAAACAGACGAAAATTCGGGCGTAAATAGCCCTTTTCTATCTCTTTATTTTGTAGCAAAAGGCGTTTGGTATTTTGACGCAAGCGTATTATCAAATATTAAAAATAGAGACGAAGAAAATTATTTAATTATTTTGCTTTTTTAAAAATAGTTTAGAAAAATGCGCTCGTATTGAAAAGTTCTAGTGCCTAATATTTTACATTCAAAGTTTACATGTATATACTCTGTAGCTTTTTTTTATAATCCGTTCTCAGTTAAGAAAGATGTACCTGCTAGGTAGATTGGACGATAAGGATAGGACGAAGGATTAAAGACCAAACGTCAGCCATTTTTCAAGCAGTTCTCGGGGCGATATGAAGTGAAAATTTGTGAAAATCTCTGAACATCGACTATTACATACACATGTTATATTTACAATAAGAAACGTTACGTAACTAAAATAATTACTTTTATATTTTTAATGAAGCCGAAGGTCGTGGGTTCGAGTCCGCTCGTGTCACTAATTTTTCATCTGAGCCATTCTTTCCATAAAAATAATTACTTTGGTTAAATAGTTTCATAAAATGTTAAACTTTTTTTTTCTAATTTTCCCTATTGTTGTACATCAATTGGAGAGACTTCATAGCACACCATTAAGCATCTATGACCAAGAGCAACTATGAACTTTTGTAATTTTTGACAAATGTCCCACAGGGCCAAAATTTGACCTAGAGGACGATCCCCTCGTTCCTACCATTTTATACCATCACCCACTCGACGACTTCCTACTCGGACACCCTCGTAGATTCCGGCTGGAAACCAGTCGGCATGCCTAATAGTTTCTTTTACTTTGCACGTCTGTTAAGTGAAAAACGTTCCATAAGAAATGCCCACGAAGTTTTCCTGGCTTCGATCTATCGAAACATTCATACTGAACAAAGCTTTTAAACGTTATATACAATAATTCGTGTTAATGCATGCGGCAGCATAATGACAAAATCAGCATTCGGTAGCGGTTTTTTTATGGTGCGAACAAGCTTTTCTCGTGTTGTTAAACAGCATTCTATCTTTTTATTTTTGTTTTTCGTTTTTTAAAAAATGGCCTTATGAGCTTGCAGATTATCCAGAGTACGATTTCGTTGATTATTTCATCATATATAGTCGGTGGAAAGGGGTGAAAAAAAGGGCCATGGGCGACGGTGGGAATCGAACCCACGACCGCGGACTCTACCATGCATTCTTGAATCTTGAATTTTAAGTTTCTGATTAAGGATTCAAAAACACACAAATGATTATCTTAGGACACCTAATATAAGGTTTTTTCGATGTCTATTGCTATCCTTCGACTAGAAATTAAAATATGAAAGTTGTATTCAGGTGCGTAATAGAAACGTCAAGGGATGATGGATGTGCAGGTAATCAATGTAAAATCACATCAAAAGGAAGCAAGACACATTGCAATTAGAGCGGATGAAATTCGAGTAATTTAAACCTCAAGGCTAGTGGTTACACAAGAACGACACCATTGAAAACCGAGCTTTTTGAACGCTTATCATTGGCGTTGTATGTTCGTGTGCGCCATTGACCCTCTTAGGAATGTATATTTGGCCACAGCTTACCAAATATTGCGCACAAAAAAAAAAGATTGAACGGTGTAAAAATCGCAGTAGTTGACATTTCAAGGCAGGCTTTGTATGTCATTAAAAAAGACCATCGTTGACGTTCATCTCGCCTACTTGTTGGACGTGTGTACGCCTCCTTCTTCCTAAATGGAAAAAAAACTTGTAATGATGCTTGCAACCCTTTAAATAATCCATCTTCATAATCTTTATATTTAAACGCTTCATAAAAACACTTCAACGAGATGAAAAGGTGTATTGTAAAATGAACAATCGTTTAAAAGAAATTCTGCGTGAAAGAATGTTGTGCAGTGCATCGCATAATTTTACAATATGTTTCATGTATCATTTTCTCCTTTATAATATGTTGGGCAAGAGACTAGAAAGCTAAAAGTTACCGTTTTCTCTCCCACTTAGGGGTTCGTGGATTTTAATCTATTATTCCCATTAAAAAAACCGTCATAAAATTCTCTTAGATACTTAGATTTAAGATTAAGACTTAGATAATAGGCTTAGATTAAGCAGAGATCGTCAGTTTAAAAAGTTGAAATAAACGAGTTGTTTGCCACGGTTGCAAAACAGATCGACTTATTAATTTTATTTTTTTAAATACCGTTATGGTATAATTCGTCTAGAGAAAATAAAAGAGAGGCGGATTCTTGTGTGGAGGACGGTGAATGGCAGGACATTCCTCCAGTTCCATCCTGAGGACAAAAGTTCGCGTAATGGCTCTCACGCAGGTTCAATGATCTGGGGTTACTAACTTTGTTTTTAAATCAGGTAGAAATCCGATGGCGCCGTCGTTTCTTGCAGGACCATGATGGGACTCGCACCTCCGCTGGGTTCCAAAACGCACGGATTGACACTGACTGAAGAAACAAATTTAAATCACGAGATCGGTTTTGTTAAAAGGGTCTACGAGGATTGACTGTCCGACTGGAGGACAACGGGGAGCCTGGTCCCCCACCATCCTCACGAGGATCGCCCCTCCAGAAAGTCCAGGGGCAGGTTCACCGAGGAAGGCTACCCAACGAAGTACAATCTACCCCACGACCCAACTTTAGAATCAAGCCACCGAGGTACAGTCATGTTGGAAAGGAGAACTTTTTCCCAACTGAGCACTGCATCCGCCGTAGTGCACTCTTACTTTAAAAAGACCAACTTCATCCAAAATTGGGTTGTCCTGAAAATACTGCAGGTTTTCATGTTTTCTTTCTATAACTCCCTCTATAAAATAAACAGTTTACGTTTAATGGATTATTCTTTTGTACGAATGTCAACACTTTTTATCAAATCCCAAACAAAAATGTCTGTACCTCAGTACCATTTCGTTACTTGGGAATAATAATCTTTTCTAAGATGTCAACGCGTGATTTCGTTTTACGAATTTAAACTCGGTCGGAACGGTGCCCAAACGCCCAGAAACATTAACGAAATCTGGGGCGACGGCAGTGTGAGTGAGAGCGCAGTTCAGAGATGGTTTAAAAAATTTCGAATAGAAGAAGAGCCTTGAAGACAAAGGTCTTCGAAGGATTTCGTATCCAGATGATGAATCTGCGAACAGAACGAATAAAAACCCAGAACGACTGTCCCAGAACATGCAGAGAATCTTTCAGTTAGCAAATCGACCGCCGCTTACACCTTAAGGCAATAGGAAACGTGAAAAAACGCCGGGTTCCTCATGCATTAAATGATCGCAAAAATAGTCATAGTTATGAAGTGTTGCCTTCATAACGAACTTTGCCGAAACAAAAACGAATCTTTTCTGGATAGACTTGGTACTTGTGATGAAATGTGGTTTCTCTACGATAACAGCGTACGTTCTGGTAAGTGGCTTGACAAAGGAGAAGCAGCACCACATTCCCAACTCATCAAAAAAAGGCGATGGTGACTCTTTGGTGGCCTCATTTGGGCTGATGTACTACGGCTTTTTGAACCCTGGTAAAACAATCGAAAAATGTATTGATCTCAAACTGAAGCAATCCACCAGAAATTGGCATTATCGAAGCCATCTTTGGGTCAATTGGAAAAGGCCGGTTCTGTCACACGACACCGCTCGGCCCCATGTCTCACACACGAAAACAGTGGGATCTTGGTTATGAGGTTCTGCTTCATCCTTCCTATTCTCCTGACCTCCCGCCCACCATTTTTTGAGACACCTAGTCAACGTTTTATTATTTAAAAAAATGATCAAAAGTAGTTAGAAAATGAGTTTACTGAATTTGTTAATAATAAAGACACCAAATTATATTCAATGGGATACAGAAGTTGCCATCACGTAGGCAGAAGTGTGTTGAGAGTGTTGGAGGGTATTTTAATTCATAAAAAATGTTTAAAATCATGTATTTAATTTATGCCCTTATGAAGTTTTGAGGCCAAATCTCACCTCATCTGTAAAGAGAACTCGTCCCCAATCTTCCAATGTCCAATTCTCATGTTCCCGTGCTAATTGAAGCCTGGCCATTTTCTTAGGTGTTGTAAGAGGTCCACAAACCGGGTACCCTGACGTTATTTTCTTCAATCCTTCTTCTTCCAGGCCTGAAGGAAATCGAATCCTTTTGGACAATAACGCAGGATAATGCCCGGCCCCCAGAGCATGTATTGTGTTGCTAACTACCTGAATGAAGTTGGAATTGAGTTCTTGATGTGGCCAGCTTGAAGTCCAGATCTGAACCCAATCGAGCACATTTGGGACCAACTTAAGCGACGAGTACGACGGCGAAACCCATATCGTTACATCCAGGAAGAGTTGGAAACGGCTGTTCTTGATGAAAGAGGAGAGAAGGAAATAATCGGCATTAAAGGGAACAAAAAGTTTTTATACATTTTTTTATTTATTTTTCGTTCTTTACTAAATAATTGTTTTTTTTTAGAATTGGGTAATAAACATTTTCTCTTTAAATGTTTTATTTTTACTACCAAACTTATTATTTGTATACAAAACCGAAATACACTAAAATTTAAGGGTGGTGCGTTTATTTTGTCCGTAAGTGTATATTATATACATTATTTTATTTACTTAAACAGATTATTTTTACAAAAAAAGAAAGATAAATTAAGGATCAGAAATAAAATTAAGATACGGAATAAGTGCATGTATTAAGATGATCCAGAAACGGAAACAAAAAAGTAACATCGAATTTGATAATAATTATCCTTTATAATAAAATTATTTTGTTACATTATTTCTAACGAGCCTTGGAAAATGTCTTACGAGATGTTGTCCTCTAATTATTTTATTTAATTTTTTCCCCGCTGAATCGCAACCAGAGGCAAAAACCTTGGTTATGAGTAACATTCCCCATACCAGTTTTAACATTTGAGCCACCCAGATTGTAAATGCCACGAGTAGCAATTAGCTTCTGGATAATTGCCGACTAGAAACAATTTCGTCGTCACTCTTCGTCATAAATACATAAATCGGGAAAAAATTGCCAAATACAGAAATACCAGATTTCTGACCAGCTGTAAAGAAAAAATCACTCCATAAATCATAAAGCTAGTAAAGCAATAACAAAAAGATTAACTTAAGATTACATTAGCTTATCCTACAACTAATTACTTCATCAACTTAACAAATAAATAAACCAATGTGATATCCTTAAATATTCTTCTTCCTCAAAATTGAGGTCCCAGGGAATCAAGTGTACTTTCCTTAGGTGCCCCTCGGTTAATTTCTTTAAGCGTCTTAGTTCTTTTCCAAAATGGCTGTACTGTACCATAGCACTGATTGTGAGTATAGAAGTAATTAGAGTGGCCTTCCACATAGCCCATAGTATGGCAGTTATGTGCTCTGACCCTAAATCCATGATTACTTACCTTGCTCTAAGCCTTTGTCTCACTATGAAGAGCAAGTTTTTGACGATTAAAAACCAAAATAGCATCTCTACTACTATTAAAACTAATAAGTACATCCCATTTAAATTTAGTTTTTATTTATTCATTCAATGTCCAATATCCTTGAAAGACTTCTATTAAAGTGCTTAACAACCATCCTAGATAATCATAAAATCATTCCGTATCGATTAGACTTCCGTCCCATCATTCCCCGATCTAACAAGATTAGTTGTCGACACTATCTCCTTTTCTCTAGAAAGCCTAGAGTATAAAGAGTATTGCTTGGGTGCGTTTCTAAATGTAGCACAGGCTTTTGATAGGGTCTCGCATCTGGGCATGCATAAACTTGATCACCTCCTACCCACTCTTATTCATTAATCCTATCTAACAGACCACTTCTTCAGAATGAGTTAACCACAAGGAAGTATTCTTCATTCCATCCTTTATAACATCTGCAATGCTGACCTACCCCCATATCCCAAACCATCACCACCTATGCAGACGATACAGCAGTTTTGTCCTCAACCTTGAATCCTGTCTAAGCTACCTCCAACACCCAAGAACACCTAAGCTTATCAAAGACTGGTGCAAAAAGAAGAGGACAAAACCGAATGAAGAAAACTGTACTTAGTGAACGTTCACATTGAGAAAACAGTTTAGAAGTTCACTTACATCAACTACAAAGAGATAGCGACTTCCATTCAAGTCAAATACTTAGGACTGTACCTAGATGGCAAACTGACATCCCCCATACAAGACTTAAAAAACAACTCAACAGAAGATTTCTAGTACCAAAATCTGACTTGACCGTCAAAACTAAACTAACCTTATACAAGACTACTGCAACCACTTCGAACATACAGAGTGAGTGATACTGTAGGTTCTGCCAAGCCATCCAACATCCAGCGCATCAGGACTCCAATCAAAAGTCCTAAAGCAAATTGTCAAAGTGCATTAATAAGTCACTAACCTCACTATCCACAATGACCACAACATTCCTTTTGTCCACGATGACTCCTGATTCCAAACGTTTCACACCAACATTTCGATTCATCCTAACCCTACTGCTGAAGCCCTCTCTACACATCCCCACCCTTAGAATCTGCCACATCACTTTTAATCAACAGTGGCCTTGAGACCTCCTTGCCCCTCGCACTGAGTTGTGGCATTGGCGGTTTCTCATGGTTTGGTCCTCCAGGTGCAACACTGGCATTAGTGCCATTAGTGTTAATGCTGTGACTGTGAGAAAAAATGTTTTTTAAGCATACTGCAACAAAATGAAATGTTTTCCTTTACACCTCAGTCCTGTTGACTGAGATCATGTCTTATGCCGGAGGTTCAGCAATTCTCTTAGTTTTATAATCCAACGTATGTCTGTAATGCTCCTGTTTGGATTTTGGCCTACATCTAACCCCATGATCAAACAACCTATATACACCGTATACATGGTACCAATGGGAAAAGCCTGCACCCATTCTACGTTGCTTCCTATAAAATTATGCTTCAGTCAACTTGACTATTGATTGGATTTGAAAGGAAAAACGAGTTGCAAAAAAGACAAACCTACTCCCTTTTTCCACACCAGACTCCTCCAGTCAGCAGGTCATTTTTAGGTTCAAATCCCACTCACGACACCAACTTTCTTAATTTAACTTTTAATTTTGCATAATTTAGTTTACTATAAAAACTAAAAATAATGATAATTCAAATAATTTAATTTAATACCAATAAAATTATATTAACATAACAACAAGGACAAACAAATTTCAGTTTGGTAGAAGTGTATGTGAAACAAGGTTCGAATCAAGCGATATACATTTTTTTCATTACATTATAATGGATTTTATTTGTATACTAAAACAACAAAAAGGTAGGGTATGGGTATGTAAAGAAACTACATAAAAAACTATTTTTTCAACTGAAAAGCAAAACTGTAATAAAATTCTGATTTATCGAAAAGAAGAGGCAGGTAAAAACAAACAAATAATCATTTAATTTAATTACCAATACAAATTCTTCTTTGTATGAATTCTTACTCAATTTCAAATCACAAAATATATGTTTGTATAACATGATATACATAAAAGTTATATATTAAGGTAATTCTTTAATTCAAGCTTCTTGTTTCTCTAACATCACCTTATCACCACTTACAACTACATTATTAATACGCTTTAGTTTTTTAACAAATTTTTTACTGAGTTTGACTTCGTCATGCGGTTCTCCAAACTGTTGAATGTATTCATTAATCACTATTTTCTTCAACCTCTTCAATGGAATATTATTCTGATTTCTAAGCACCGCCTTAATAGTTTGGTTCCAATTAAAGCCAGTGACCGTTGGTTTTTCAGGTGCAGGTTCTATAACATCAAATCAAATTAGTTTTAGTAAAAGACTTCACATTTACAATATTTCTATATTTTCAACAGGAGTTTGGTAAAAAAAAAACTATAGACAGTTGAATCTGGCTTGACGCTACATTCAGTTGGAGTTTGATTACACACCAACGCCTATGAGAAGAAGTGGGAAATGCAGTCAAACTGATGTCAACACATCTTTGCAATAATTATATGTATTTTTTTTTAGCTGTGTCAATGTAGGGGCTATGTGGGGAACACATACAATGTAGTCTTTTAAAGTGGTTAAATAATTTAACAAAATAGTGCAAAAAACTCCCCTCTTTATTAAATTGAAATAATTTATTATAGCATTTATTAAGATGTCAGGGTTGGCCGACAGGCTCTTGCATGTCACTGGACTGTAGGTGGCACCCTAGCCGGAAATGAGCAATTGTCCTTACGCTCCTGGCAGAAGTGCCCTTTATGAGTTGCTCATTGTGTCCCACATAATAGAAGCTTGCTATGCCTTGGCTCCTTACACAGTATATAGGCGTACCCCAGATTTAAGAATGGTTCACGGGCAGAGTAGTGAGTTTGTAGGTCCCCAGTTTCACTTTTTAGAGGACATGGTTTTTTCATTGTATATAGTTTTAATAGTGTGCATGTATTTCTTAGTGTGAGTGTCAACTCTCCAGCGGTGTGTGTTTTAGGTTCAATGGCAGAATAGTTATGAAAGAACACCATCGACCCTAATTTAGACTAACTCATCACTATTGTGTGTAGGTCGATAGAAGAATACCAAGTACTCCACCGAGAAACCAGAATGATTGCCATGTACACAGATGTGAACGTATTTATTAGAGCGACTGTTGTTCACATGGTGGTTTTAGCATGAGTTGAGAGTTAAAATGACCTAGCTATCAAAAGCACCTGGACCCCATTGGATGCAAATCAGCATCTGGCTTAAACGAAATACTAGTGACCCAGCTCCATAACAGAATAATTTAAAGGCCCTATGGTCAGCACATCGGGGTATGACAACCCTTTGGGTGAATGTCTAAATTAACGTGTGGTGATTATTAGTGACCGTTAATCGATAATTATTCCGAAATCGTGAGATGCGGTCTGGTAAATTATTTTTGATAGTTCTAGCTACTAAAACGCTTATTTCACCAACGTTTACAACTTTAGTATTGATCACAGCTATTGGAAATTGAACGTAGTTTTCAATGGTATCAACAGATTTGTCCAAAAACCTTTTAGTTTTGGTGTTATCATCGTTTCTTTGAAGCAAGGTCATGAAATCCTAAAAAATCAGAAAAAGAGAAATAACTCCAAAACTGTTGAGACTCGGACCAAGTTAATTAGGACTTTTTGGTCCAATTTTGAATGTAGAATCTACTGGGAAAGTTTGTAACACGAGTAGCCGTACACCCTGTATAAATATAAATAATAAAAATAAAAATAATTTATGTAAAAAAAAAAATATTTTGTACTACACGTATACCATAAAGCATAAAAAATTAATTCAACTTTAAAAAAAAATTTAATATGGTTAACCTGTTCTTTTTTTATTTTTTTTTATTTTATTATTATTTTTTAATTAGTTTTTCTTTACACATGCCAGATTTCTGTTATAGAATTTTTCCATAGATAAAAATAGTATAATACAGTCGTGATACTATTTTATTTATTTTTTTATTGACATCATGAAATGTGTCCTTCCCATTTGTATAACACATTATTATTATTATTTATTGTTTGGAGATCGTGAGATGCGGTCTGGTGTGACGTAGGTTTCAGAAAAACATTTTCTTTATCGTGCCAACGTTTCAATCTTTATTGAATCTTTATTGGCCTGAGATTTACAAACATTGTTTACATTTAACAAATACATGCAGGATGTGGAAAAAGTGAATTTATACAATGCAAAATCTATTTTTTATTATAATCAATCACACCAGACCGCATCTCACAATTTCGGAATAATTAGTCTAAATTAACATTTGCCATAAAAAAGAAACCAGTATTTAATATATTCAAAAACAACAGCACACCGAGGGCCTCTTCTAGGATAGAACCTCTACTCTTGCCAACTCTTGTAAAAACATAAATAAATAAAATATAATATAACGTAATGTATTACCTTCTGTACTGAGTTTGCAAAGTTTGTCTTGCGGGTCCAGTTCTTTTTCAGTCGGATCTTTTTTGGATTTTTTCGCAGGCTTTTCACCATCCTCTTCCTCATCGCCTTCCTTGCTGTAATTTTCAATTTCATTAAGTTCTGCCAGATATTTTAATTCTTTATTTCTTTTTTTTCTCTCTTTTTTGTCCATCTTTTCTGCTTCACTGCAAGGACCATCAGCTGTCGACTGTTCAGAATCTTTCTCATCTTCTACACAATCCAATTTCCTCTTTTTATTATTTATCTCTTGATCATGAGATTCTTGATCGTCTATATTCATTTCTTCCTCATTCAAATTCTTGCTCTCTTTCGGTTCCTTTTTATCCGATTCATTTCCGGTTTTCCCACTATTGGAATTTTCTTTCTCATGACCATTTTCAGCATCTGCACTAAGAGAACCCTTATCCACATGCTTGGCATTGTTAGCATTGCTGTTGTTATTCATTCTTTCTGCTTTAAACTTTACAAATTCTGTTTCCATCAAGGTGAAAACATCGTCAGTTACTTCTTTATTGTAGATTTTATAATATTTACTCTTTACGAAATTCTTAAAAAAAAAAAAAAAAAAATTAAATTATCGATTTTAACAAAGTACAGATGAATGTAAAACACTATTTTAATTTTTTTTAAACCATTACATGAAACTTATTCCTCGCTCTGGGTAGGTTGGTTTGGCCTTTAAGAGATTTTAAAAGGCTATCAATTTTAATGTCATGTTGCGGAGTGCTTAGAACTTTTTCCACGCAGCACAGCCAGCGATTCTGCTTGGCCGCGGGGGGTTTGGTTTTGGCATTCTTTCCTCCGTACCTAACTTCCTCAGTTACACAAGATGTATGTTGAACATGTTCATCGTTCCTGAAATCAATTAAATACTGTCAGCCTGTTTTTCAAATGTTAATTTTGACAAAATTCAGATTCTAGTTGCCTGTAAGATACGAAAAAGATACAGGATACAATAATTATAATATTTAGAAATAGATAATAATCAATGAACCTGAAGTCTTTTAAGCAGTCGATACAAGTCAGCCAGAATGGTAGACATTTCCTGCTCATTTGTCCATGCTTGACAACCGCATTTTTCTTCAAACACTCGTTACACTTTTGACAAGTAAAGAAAACCATTGCCGCAAAATCAACGAGACACAACAAGACACAAAATCAAACGAGAGACACGATTTGCTGAGAAGCACGTGTTTAGGTGGGGTTTGTGTATTAAAATTTAAACCTGCAAGGCTGCAATTTCTCAGTTCCCCTTCCCAGTAGCCAGGCGATCGAAACTCATGGTTCGTCAAATCGTTTCCATACTCCAATCGATATTTTTTCCCTATAGGCGTAGCAGAATGGATGGGCATAATGCTACTTTTTGTGTAAATGGGATTAATCGATACAAAAGTAAAAAAAGGAAGTACACCAAACATTATTTACCGTTTATTTTGTCTACGTTAGCTCTAAATTACCCGTAACTAAAGTAGATAGATAACGGATTTAATTGTGAACTAAATAAATAGAGTGGTGCGTTAAATTTGAACATCATTGTATAATAAAATATACAGGGTGTTCGGCTACTCGTGTTACAAACTTTGCCAGTAGATTCTACATTCCGACCCAAAAAGTCCTATTTAACTACTGTCCGAATCTCAACGGTTTTGGAGTTATTCCCCATTTTCTATTTTTTAAGATTTCACGACCTTGCTTCAAATAGGCAATGATAATTCCAAAACTAAAAGGTTTTGGACAAATCCATTGTTACCACTGAAAACTACATTAAATTTCCAACAAGATGTGATCAATACTAAACTTGTAAACGTTGGTGAATTAAAGGTTTAAGTAGCCAGAATTTCAAAACACAATTTTTTTGTCAAAGTTGAAAAACCTGTATGGTGATTCTAAACTATTATTTTCAAACCTAGAGACGAAAAAATTTCACAAAAACTACTACATTTAATATCCTTTTTAGTGGTGTAATTGCTTTTTTAATTGCTTTTTCAAAGATGAAGAAATTGATGAAGGAAAGGAAAAAGCGTGGTTGACGGATTGGTAAGGTGGGTAAAAAGATTGAATTGAAACGTTTTTAGTTTTAGTTCATTCATTCAAAATTTCCTTAAGTTTTTATTTTTTTATTATTATTAATCTTGCCACTTCAACCACGGTTTTTTCCTTCCCTTCATAAATTTCTTCATCTTTGAAAAAAATAATTAAACAAGCAATTGCACCACTAAAAAGGATATTAAATGGCGAACTTTTCTGAAATTGTCTCTAGGTTTGGAAATAGTAGTTTAGAATCACAACAGTAATTTTTTCAACTCCGACAAAAAATTATTTTTAAAAATTCTAGCTACTAAAACGCTTATTTCACCAACGTTTACAACTTTAGTATTGATTGAACGTAGTTTTCAATGGTATCAACGGATTTGTCCAAAACCTTTTAGTGTGGTGTTATCATCGTTTCTTTGAAGCAAGGTCGTGAAATCCTAAAAAATCAGAAAAAGAGAAATAACTCCGAAACTGTTGAAACTCGGACCATAGTTGATTAGGACTTTTTGGTCCAATTTTGAATGTAGAATCTACTGGCAAAGTCTGTAACACGAGTAGCCGTATACCCTGTATAAATATAAATAATAAAAATAAAAATAATTTATCTAAAAAAATATTTTTTATTACATGTATACCATAAAGCATAAAAAATTAATTTAACTAAAAAAAATATTTTTTTAAATATGGTTAACTTTATCTTTATTTTATTTTATCATTTTTTTAAATTAGTTTTTTTACACATGCTAGATTTCTGTTGATAGAATTTTTCCATAGATAAAAATAGTATAATACAGTCGTGATACGATTTTATTTATTTTTTTATTGACATCACAAAATGTGTCCTTCCCATTTGTTTATCACATTATTATTATAATTCAGAAATCGTGAGATGCGGTCTGGTGTGATGTAGGTTTCAGAAAAACATTTTCTTTATCGTGCCAACGCCAAAGAAAATGTTTTTCTGAAACCTACGTCACACCAGACCGCATCTCACGATTTCTGAATAATTATCGACTAACGGTCACTAATCACCACACATTATTATTATTGATTATTTGGAGATCGTGAGATGTGACGTAGTGTGACGTAGGTTTTAGAAAAGCATTTTATTTATCGTGCCAACGTTTCGATCTTTATTAAGATCTTCTTCAGGGCCTGGGATTTATAAACATTGTATAATTTAAACAATGTTTATAAACCCCAGGCCCTGAAGATGATCTTAATAAAGATCGAAACGTTGGCACGATAAATAAAATGCTTTTCTAAAACCTACGTCACATCTCACGATCTCCAAATAATCATTAACTAACGGTCTCTAAACACCACACATTATTATTACTTTTCGAATCGCTAAAATTTAAATAGTGAATAGGCCGGAGTCTAACTATGACGCAATGTGATGAAATGCCATTCCAACCGGCGTTAAGTCGACAATGCGGCGACTTCTGTTGAAGGCCGTTGTCGTGCCCGGCCCATGCCCATGCTGAACTCTTACGACGTCCGTCAACAGAACGCAAGTGGTTATTCATAATTCGCTCTTCACCTTTGTAATCTAACAATTACAAAGGCGATTCGTCATGAGTTCCGACTGTGGATTCGAATGTAAAAAGATCAGTGAGCTTAAAGTAATTCATTTGTCTCAATTGATACCACCACAGATGTTCGTTTGTCGTCAACATGGTTTTGCTCTGTGTCCAGGGAATCGGATTGTTCGCGACGAAGAGTTATCGGGAGGGCGAGACGATTTTCGTAGAAGATCCGTTGGTCGCTGCACAGTTTTCGTGGAATGAAGCTTACGGCTATCTAGCTTGTCACCACTGTCTGAGGTAGGACTGTCTGCAATGCAGACTGTACAGTCTAGATTTCCAGGCCCGAATACACTCCAATTTGTCTTATTCAGATTTATGACAATATAACTGGTATAACAGGATTTATGCTTTGGCTTCTTGACTGATTCTGTTGATTCTTTTTAGACCCTTAGAGACAGTAGAAGAGAATGTGAAAAGGCTTACGAATAACTCAAACATTATTGTGCCGCTGCCGAAGTTGTGCTCGACGGACCAGTCTAAACACAGAGCCTGTGAGTTGTGTGAGGTACTATTCATATTCATATATAGTCACTTTCTACACTGAGAAGGCAAATGAAGAACCACCCTCTGTTTTTTTTCTGGATATTTAAAAAAATATTAATCTAGCTAAATAAAAAATTAAACAGTACAACAATTTTACCAAAAATATTGCTATGGAAGAAAATATTCAATTCAGTATGGAGTATTTCTTCCTCTTGCATTGATCACCGCTTGCATTCGATGTTGTATCAATTTTATGAAGTTTTGAATGTACTGCTGGGGAATATTTTCACACTCCTCCAACAGCGTTATTCTTAATTCCTGCAAATTCTCTGGCAACTTTTTACCCTCTTGACAACTTGTCCCAAAGGTGTTAGGTTGTTTAGTCCATTGAAAGTAATCACCGACGATCATAGACGTTCGGGGCTTTAAATTGTCATGCAAAAACATAAAACCATTGCCAATTAGTGGCATATAAATGATTACACATTAAACACGATAGTGACCTGATCCAAGCTTGTTTGAGTAACTTCCAGTTCCTTGTTACGTTGGAAGACCCTAAGGACCATTGTTCCGGGATGTTGAGCCCCCTGGCCACATTCTCTTTACTTCTTCCGTCTTCCAACAATGCCAAATCTGTATCACTTAAAAAAATCAAAGCAACGGAACATTAGAAAGAAGCTTTACAGAAAACCCAACTAAGTTGAGATTGACTATTCAAAAATTTATTTACAAAGTCCAATTGTAAACACAAGTGGGATATTTTATCTGATTCTTTAAAATGGAACAAGTGTTGGTGTAAAATAATCAATGGAGGATTGTCTAAGACAGTGGTTCCCAAAGTGGTCCCTATGAACCCCCAGGGGTCCCCGGTATCATTCAGGGGGTCCATGGAAAATTAAAATTGATTTGGGGGTCTCTGAACAACGTCAGGGGGTCCGCGCAAGGTTTAATATAATATAAATAATAATATAATATGAAACAGAAGTACGGTGGTTATCTAAAAGTGCATGTTTAAATCGATTTTATGTCCTATTTGATTCAGCGTTGGAATTCCTGGAAACCAAAGACAATGATTTGCGACATAATTTAATTAACTCAAAAAATGATATAGCCTATGTCTGATTTATTTGCCAAATTTAACGAAACTAATTTGAAACTACAAGGTGACCAATTAAATTTAATCAAAACTAAAAGTGTAATATCTGCGTGTGTTGCAAGACTTTTTCTTTACAAACAAAACTTGGGAAGAGGAGAATTCTTTCAGTTACCAAATCTTTCGAAATTGCAAATTAGAGATGAAGATTTGCTTGCTTATGGTCAACACTGTAACAGCTCTTCATACAGACCTGAACCAAAGATTTGAAGACATTCTTCACTTGGATATTCCTGACTGGGCGTTGAACCCTTTTGCACGTGGACAAAATCAGATCCCAAACAGAGATGAATCCATACTAATACAGGAGCAGCTTATTGAAATATCCACAAATAAGGAACTTAAACCAATGTTTGAACAAGGATACCACAAATTATGGTTACAAAAACAGATCCCAATTTTATATCCTTCCTATTTGTAGAACGTGGATTCAGTGCCGTTATGAATCTCATCACAAAAGAAAGAAACCGATTAGAAATTATATACTCATAACATCTCATCACGTTCATCCAAGTCATTAATTTTTTATATTTTCTTTTAAACAAAAGTAGTATTATAATTTATATACATTTATAATTTCAAAAATACTTCTTCGACAAAACTTTTTTTTTAATTTGTAATTTTTATATTATGCATTTATGTGGCTTTTTCACTGGGGGTCTGTGGGCAATTTTTGATTATAAAAAGGGGTCCTTGGGTCAAGAAAGTTTGGGAACACTGGTCTAAGATAATTAAAAATATTAAGGGTGCCCCTTTTTTCTCTTCTCAGTTGAATTATATGAAATTACAATTACATTAGTTTTTATTCAATATTTACTTTCAGATACAGTTTTGCAGTGATGTCTGTAAAGAATTGGCATTTCAACAGTACCACAATGCGATATGTTTTGCTAAAAAACCTTCCCTTTTAGGGCTGTGTGAAAAATGGAAGTAAGTCGTTATATACTTAAAATTTTATTTTCTACATTTTCATTTTCACTATCTGTTTTATAGAAAAATACATTATCCTCCAGAAACTACTAGCATTATGCTTTTACTAAAGATAATCGGAATGGTCGAACAAGCCGAAGGAAATGAAGAATTAATGAATAGATTTTTAAATGTAATTGTCTCATAATTAGATGGTGTGTCATTATTGTTACGAATTTATTGTTTTACTACCAGTTTAGCCATGGGTCTTCAGATGAAAGAGAGGGTATGCTTTTAAAACTATTCGGACCTGAAAATTCGGAGAAACTTAAAATACTTCATACACAACTCACACAATCGCTTTCTGTGAGGCATGCTGGATCTGTGAGTTCATTGTTTTTCAATGTGTAGTACTGATCATTCATTACTGGTTTAGCTTGTTTCAGAGGAAGGGATGAAATCTCTGTTCGCTCTCATCGGACGAAACGGTCAAGGGATCGGCACAAGTGTTTTCAGCGAGTGGGTGAAAGTAGTAGAAAAACACGAAATGTCTAATGAAGACAAGGAAAGGACGGACAACTTTATTGATGCTGTCTATCAGGCGATGGACGAATGTAATGCCGCTTGGTCTCAATCTTTTCCGAGCCTTTTTTTGATATTAATAGCGTTTTAGATGTCGGCACCTTCCTTAACACCGAAGGGTCTGGACTTTACGAAACACAGAGGTGCATAAATCACAGTTGCAGTCCGAATGCCGTCGTCACATTCCCATATAGTAATTCGACTTTGCTGCTACAAGCAAAAACAAACATTGAACCCGGAGATGAAATATGTATTAGTTATTTGGACGATTGTCAACTTGAAAGGAGTCGACATTCGAGAAACAAAGATTTTAGGTAGAGCACTATTTAAATTTTTATTAAATAAATTTGTAACAATTTTTGTTTACAGAGATTATTATCTATTTGAATGTACTTGTGAGAAATGCTTGAGTCAGTTGAATGACCCTGATGTTACGAGTGAAGAAGAAAGTGAAGAAGAGGTCGAGGATATGGATTGTTAACCCATCTATAACCATAAATAAAACAAAATCATAAAGTATTTAACTTTTTAAGATCATATAAAACTTAAATAATATCGTTATACAAGACTGTTCTAGAAGTCCTTATGCATCAAAATATATTATTTACTTTCATCCCAAAATTTTGAAAAACTAATTTTTGAACAAATTTTAAAATATAATTACTCTCTTTCACCACATTTTTACTTCTGGTAGATCAATAGTAACAAATCTGTTATTTCAGTACAATGTATATAAATCATCCAACTACAACGGTCAAGTCAATGTTGTATGAACAGACTTAAGCCGGGAAGACACCCGATGCAACGCTACTTGACGCAAATCCAAAGTCCATTTTTCGATAAGATTGTATTCCCCGTGCAAATCTGCCCAATGCTATGTAACGCTACCATACTCTACGCTCTGCGATCCCCATTGTCCAGATTTTTGTCGGGTAGCATTGAGTACAGTCGAAGACAAAAGAACCGGACACATTTTATTCAAACTATACGTATTATTTTTGCTATATTAATTATAACGTACTTATTTTAATCATAAATCAAAAATTCATCAGTTTTTATTTAAAAAAAATAATTTTAACAGTTTGGTAGAAAATTGATCAAAACACTGGAATACAATTTTTTGATATAATGAATTTAACTAACAATTTATTACACAGTTTTGTTCATAAAATTAAACCGTTTTCATCAGTGTAATTTTATGAGCTAGAGAAAAGTTTTTTGTCGGGTAGCGTCGAGTACAGTCGAAGACAAAAGAACCGGACACTCATATTTTATTCAAACTACATGTATTATTGTCGTTATATTAATTATACTTATTTTAATATAAACAAAATTAACCGATACCGAAACTTCGTTTTTTTTTTAAATTAATTTTAATGGTTTGGCAGAAAATTGATCAAAACACTGGAATACAATTTTTTGATATAATGAATTTAACTAACAATTTATTACACAGTTTTGTTCATAAAATTTAGCTAACAATTTATTTAATGGTTTTGCTCATACAATTAAACCATTTTTGTCGAGTAGCTTCAGAACAGGGCACCTGTATTTTTTGTAGTTTATTTCAAACTATGTATATGTAATTTTGTCATTATATTAATTACAACATTCTTATTTTAATATAAACCAAATGAAACGTGATCAAAAATTCATGAATTTTTATAAAAATTATTTAATTATGATAGTTAGGCAGAAAATTGATCAAAACACCGGAATAACTTAAAAATTTAACAATTAAATTTAACTAACAATTTATTACATGATTTTGCTCATCAAATTTAACTAACAATTTATCTCATAGTTTTGCTCATCAAATTTAACTAACAATTTATCTCATAGTTTTGCTCATACAATTACGCCATTTTTGTCGAGTAGCGTCAGAACAGGATACCCGTATTTTTTGTAGTTTATTTCAAACTATGTATATGTAATTTTGTTGTTTTATTAATTACAACATTCTTATTTTCATATAAACCAAATTAAACATGATCAAAAATTCATGAGTTTTTATAAAAATTATTTAATTATGACGGTTAGGCAGAAAATTATCAAAATACTGGAATAACTTTATTTAAAATAATTAAATTTAACTAACAATTTATTCCATGGTTTTGCTCATAAAATTTAAATAACAATTTATTACACGGTTTTGCTAAAAATAATGCATTAAGAACAAAAGAGGCATTGCGATTGTGATTATTGTGCACACCCTATTCGTATAGGTGTCGGTTAGCATCGGGTAAGTTTTTTCCCAGCTTTAAGCAAGGCATTAGCCTGGAGAGTGCCCAGGTACCTCCAATTATAAATATTTCCAAGCAGCCCAGGACTGTGTGCAGTCTAGCAATGTTTTAATGGAACTACACTATGCTATTGTGAATTCTGCAAGTGGAGACAGACCCACTAAGTGACGCTGTGCTGGTTTAACATGAAACTACACAATATTCAACTTCCTTATTGCTGCAGGATTAAATTGCCGGTTGAAAAATTTATCTTTAAGGATAATTTTTTGCTAATTTTATAGGCAATGCATTTTCAAGAAAACCACTTCAGATGACAAATTTAAAAAAATTCTGCTGTTAGTAGATCACTTTAATTCTTTAATGGAAAAAATATAAATCCTGCTCAAGCATATAATTATTAAACATAATTTATCGTTAACTTCACTTTAAAAAACAGTGTTAATCATCCTAACTACAAATTTTTATGGGATTATGAAAAAAATTTAAAGTTACTAAAAAAATTTATTAGAAAGCACAAAATGATCAATTAAATGTTTCAACGTGTTTTTTGTCTTTATAATCAATTTATGGTATATTTGCAAGATAATCTTTGACAGTGTTGGGATCAAGAACTTTGAATCCTGAAGCATCGCACACTCCAACTTCTATATTGTCAGCAGTCATCTGCCCTTCAAAACCCTCTTTCAACGTGAGGATTGCCGTATGAACTGCATCATCTAATTCTAATGTCTCGCTGTACCTAAATAAACAAAACAGAAAGTAGTTTACTTTGGTTGTAACGAGCAGACGAAAAACTGACCTCTTTTCTAGAAAGACTTTGCCATTAATGAAATTCTTTCCCATTGCGGTAGCCTTCCAAGCGAAGTACGCGCCGCTTGGATCACATTGGAACAATGTGGGTTTTCCATCATCCCAGCCGCAAATGAGCAAAGACACCCCAAAAGGTCGTACACCGCTAATAACAAAAACAATCACTGATCTATAAATTTTCAAAATATTTTTATAAATCAATAATTACCCAGACTGAGTATATTCTTGCATGACCATTGCCACTCGTTGAACAAGTTGTGGAGTGGGTATTCTCTCCCCGTACACCAGTTTATACTGCTGGGCCATTTTCCTAGCCCTTTTGACAAGAAGGCGATAATCTGGCCCCATGCCTGAAAGGAAACAATTTGTAAGAAAAATGTCTTAGATGTTGTTTTGAATTTAACTTACCGCTATATACCATTCCAATGTGGTCAGTAATCAATTCAATTTTTTTAACTGTGTGCTCTTCATAAAGAATTGATTTGTACTTGTTTTCTGTAGCCAAAACCACTCCATTGGATGCTAGAAAAAAAATACATATATGACATTAGATTGACAAAGTCTAGAATACAAGATAATTTAGAGTTTATGGAAGGAAAATGATAATATGGATATTATATGTGGCAAATGAAGTATAGAATAGTCAAGGATTGTTCAATGACAAGAAAAAGGAATAACATGGACAAGTTTGTAGTTTTTGAGATTGTTCATAAAAAAGAAAGCTGTAGGCCAATATAGGTTGAAAGGCTGTTGTTCAAACAACCATGCTGAACAGGTGGCCTTGAGGACATGTAATGAGTTGAAGATTTTACCACAGATGCCCAAGAAATGAGGGAAGCAATGATCATCAACTAAATTAGAGAGGAGTAAAATCTGGAATCAAAGTATGAACAAGAGGTGTTCTTTAGTTTCAAGCACATGTAGATCGGCAAGGAAATGAGGCTGCTGACACTCTAAGCAGGCACTGCAGGTCCTCATCACGGTGGAGGCATTGAGCTAGGTTTGTTAAAAATTTATTATTTATTACAATTAATTATGGTTTTTAGTTGACATAAAAAAGTCAATGGCACGAGCGGGATTCGAACCCATGATCTTCGGCTAGATAAGCCGCTGCTCTACCACTTGAGCTATCGTGACCTCTACCCACTTGGACACCAACTTCCTATCTCAACCCCATCTTTGAGTTTGAAAAATGGCAAAAGGGAGGGAAAACTCAAAAGGTGGGGTTGAGATAAGAAGTTGGTGTCCGATGGATCGAGGTCACAATAACTCAAGTGGTAGAGCAGCGGCGTATTTAGCCGAAGATCGATGGTTTGAATCCCGCTTGTGCCACTGACTTTTATATCTCAACTAAAAACCTTAATTAATTGTAATATATTAATTGGTCAAGTGGGCCACGAAATTAGTGAATTTATTATTTAATTTATTTAATTTATTTATTAATTCCAGGTAGTTCGAAAGGTGAAAACTATGTTCCTCATGCATTATCATCATTATGAAGTTTGCGCAACATTTCTTTGTCGAAACAGAAAGAAACCTTTTTTGGATAGAATTGTTACTTGTGATGAAAATTGGATTCTCTACAACAGCAGGAGTCCAATTTTCCAAAGCCCCCCCCCCCAACTTGACAAACAAGGAGATTGTGACACTTCGGAGGGCTTCATGTGCTATAGATTCTTGAATACTGAATGAAAAACAATCATGCTGAAAAGTATCGCTCACAAATTGAAGCATTGCACCAGAAATTGACATCATTGAAGGCGTCTGGTCAACTGTAAAAGGCTGATTCTGTTATACAACACTCGGCCCTATATCTTAGATGTGACAACTCGAAAACTGTTGGATCTTGGTTATGAAGTTCTGCCTCACCCTCCATATTCTCCAGACCTCTCACCTACCGACTACCATTTTTTCAGACACCTGGGCATGTTGTACGACATAAAAATTTTGTTGATAAAAATTCGTTAGAAAATGAGTTTGCAAAATTTGATGATAGTCTAGTCAGAGGGTGTAGAGAAATTCCCATCAGTGTATTGAGAGTAATGGAGTGGTATTTTAATAAACAAAAAATGTTTAAATTCATTTATTTTTTATCCATAAATCTCCATTATTTTATGGACACTCAATAGTATTATTAATGACACATGTAAAAAATAAACTTGTTAGTGTTAAGAGTTTACTTTCACCAGGAAAAAAGAACACATACACTCGCTGTTTTATGATTCCAACAATGACGTGGTCAAGTACATGTTAGGGAATGGTGTACTTAATAGATTTACAAGGATGGGAGTCAACAAAATTAGTCAGAAATATGTAGTTTTAGTGAACGTTAGTTAATGATTATTTGGAGAATGTAGATGTGGTCTTGTGTGATATAGGTTTTAGAAAAACATTTTCTTTACTGTACCAACGTATCAATCTTTATTTACATCAACTTCAGGGGTCAGTCACACTTGCAACACGACACATCATGACACATCTACACAGAAAACACACGCTTTGAGCCCTGAAGTTGATATAAATAAAGATCGAAACGTTGGCAGAATAAAGAAAATGTTTCTCTAAAACCTACATCACACAAGATTGCATCTCACAATCTCCAAACAATCTTTAGTCAGAAAAATTTATTTATTGACAATGCTGGGAGAAGGAATAATTTGGTTAGATGTCAGAAAGGGTAATGTTTAATGTTACAGTCCTGTGGAAGATGAGGGAAGATGACTGATGGCCAGGCTGTGATATCCCCCCCCCCCAAAAAAAAAGCTCCTTGAGGTTTGGGGTGTTGAAATTGTAGTTTGGGCCTTTCCAATCATCCTGGTCCGCCCTACTGCTTTGGTAAATCAGTGTTTTGGCACACTACCATCTTCAGCATAGTATGACCCTGCTTATATTCTGACAAACCAAAGGGAATACACAGACTTCGTTCAGAATCGGTCAAACTACATTGTATGTATGTACAATTGTCTACACCTAATGAAAGTTGTTATAAATAACATAATCGTTATAATCTTGTTTATTTGCCACATTTGAAGAAACGGACAATTCTAATTTTGAGTACCTTTAATTCCAATAGAAGGTGCACCTGAAGCGACCGCTGCTAAAGCATATTCTATTTGCACTAATTTTCCAGACGGGCTAAAAAAAAGTTAATCAGTGAAAATTATCCATAAGAACCTTTTTTTGTATATGTATTTTATCTATTAATTACCTGAACGTTGTCAAAGAAAAACTGTACCTCTCGGAACCCATGATTACAGTGCACAAAACCTGCCGTCTGAGAGCGTAAACGTTAACCTGCCCGTCCGGCTGTCGCTGAAGAGTTAGAGACGGAACCTCGTCCGAACTTGTAGAATCATGTTCTTCGAGCGTTACAAGCGGAATTTAACCGAACGCGTAATGAAGATCTGATTTAAAAATCAACAATATTTGCCTCTCATCTTTCCCTGTACATCTATTTTATATGTATTTTTTAGTTTGAAGATAATATTTTATATAAGAGAAGTCAATGCAATAAACAACCACGTAATACTTGGTTCCTTTGAACCTTAATATTCCATTTCACCGTGTACTCTGAATAATAAAGTTAGAGAACATTGCCATTTTATTGAAAGCTTCGGACGTGTATAACCGGTTTGCAGTCATGAGAAGAAAAATGGAAAAAAGGACGAAACGGTGGCTTTACAACAGAGAAAAAGGGTCGAGATACTGATGGACTCGCGCCGACGCCGTTCTCCGACTATAAATATAGGTCGATATTTGTCTGTCTCATCCCTCAGGAGGTAATGTTCACGTTTTGACGGTCTTTCAATTCTTTTTTTGACCGTTATTTTGTTGGTAATGCACGGTCGGAACAAATAAAAGGAATGATGGCCGGCAAAGATGGTGCCGTTAGCTGTAGAAGGACAGCAACCAAACAGTCGACTGCGAGGTGCGTCACTTGTAATTATAATTTTCATAAAGAAAATTCGTGTGAAAAGACGACAAGCCAACATATCCGCATTCTTAAAAACACCTAAAATTTGATTGGTATACACATTTGCTGTATGTGTAACAATGGTAATCGCTCACCATTTGAACCCCAACATCATCCTCCCATTCGTTCTAACATGTTTTTGCACAAAATAAATACTTATTTGTAATTTTAACGAAAGGGCGATTGATATTTCCTTATTATAATAATAAACACTGCAGAATTTACTGTATAATAAAGTTTATGATAGGTATATTGTAAACAAAAGAAATCCAATAAAAAATAAATAAATAAATAACACACTGATGGACAAATGTAATCGATCACTCAATTTTTTTACTTTAAAATTAAATTCATTATCTTTTTACATTAGTTACAGGTAATAGAATCTTTCATTAATTAATTAAAGCTAGGTTTATTTCCTTTCTTTACTTTCATACTGATTAACCCCATTTGCATGGGAGCATTATGCCTTTTCCCATTCTGCTGTGCCCAAAGATGAAGTAAGTCACTAGGAGACTGAGTATTGTTTGGCGCTTCAGAGAAACAAGGCCTCACACTAGAATGCCAGGACAGCGTTGACCTAGGTCTATGGATGGGAGAGACAATAGAATCATCTGCCATCAGGCCATTCAGAACCACAGGATTACAGAAATGAGATAAGAAATCTGATGACAAGCCCGAAATGTTTTGATTTCCTCCAGGGCTGTAATTACAAGGCTCAATGAGAACACTCGGCTCGTGAAATTCTTACCTCATCTCAGAAAATTTCCTCTCTTCAATTTGCACAGGAACATGTGAATTGGACATTGGAAGATTGGGGATGAGTTCTCTTTACAGATAAGGTGAGAGTTGGCCTCAAAATGATGGGCGAAATTTCATATGGAGACACTCAGGAGAAAGGACAGAAAGGAAGACGCCCCATGCTGTGTGTTTCCTCACGTGGCATTTGGGTTATTGATGTTCTGGGGTGGTATTTCCTTACACACCTTCACTGAATCAGTTGTTGCACAGAGGTACTTACCTAAGTATATAGATATATAGGGCCCCCATATCGGTGAGAGATTCTTGCTATTGCAGGATAATGCCAGACCCCATAGAGCAGATGACTACCTGCTTGATGTTGCCAGTTTGAAGTTCAGATTTGAACCCAATCGAACACATTTGGGACCAACTTAAGCAACATCCACTACGGCGAAACCCAGTCCTAACACTGTTGAAGAGTTGGAAACGGTTCTTGATGAATGGAAAAGAATTCCTCAAGATTTTATCAGAAATCTTATCCAATGAATGGAAAGGTGTTTTACTGATGTGATTCGTGCCAGAGGTGGAATCCTCGGTATTAAGAGGACAAAAATTTTTTAAAAACATTTTTATTTGTTTTTAATTTTTTTTCCTTTACTCAATATTTTTTTAAATTAGGTAATAAATTTTTTTTTTATATATATGCTTTTTATTTCTATGAATATAACAATGATTATTAGCAAAGCATAATACAGGCATGGATCACAATCGTCTGCCAGAGATTTTCTTTTTAATTGTCTTATTTTTGCAACCAAACCTATTTTTGGCATGCAAAATATGAATAAACCTAAACATATTAAAATTTAAGGGTGAAGCACTTATTTTGTCTATCAGTGTAGTACAATAACAAAAAACAAAACAAAAAAACATTAAAAGTAAGTGTTAACATTTATTGCATATCTGTAGGAATATTCTGACTTTTTCCTTCATAATGCTTTGGCCGAATATAATGGTCAGTTTTTCAAATATTACCCCTTGAAAATGTTTTAGACGCTATCATTTCAATTGAATCTTATTCCTATTAAATTCATAATTTTTTCCCTTCCTTAAATTACATATCACACAGTTGAGCTTCTCTCTCGTCTTGATTTTCTTTAGCCCAAGCCACCTTTGTTTCGACGCCTTAGCTTTTTCACTCTGTAGAAAACTAAAGTTGTCATTATTAAATCCCTAATAATTCCTTCATTCTCTTACTTTAGTGCTATTTTTCCCTTTCCTTAGACTCTCAGTCTGCTCATCGCCTTCAAATTGCTTTTCATTAACGCATTAGATACTGTTATGATCTTAAACCAAGAGAGATATTTCTTCTTATATTATCATCTTCAGCAACCCTAACATTCTAAGCTCTTATAAACCTAGTTTTAACATACATACATATTTAAAATTAAATCAAATAAATGTCCTCAGATAAATAAATATCTACCACCTTTTTCCCATAGTTAGATTATTTGTATGCTTTGTAAAGTGATTTGAACAGTGACATGATTACAAGAGTAAATGCGAAAATATATTTGTTTAATTTCTAAATTGAACAGAAATGGCTGCTTCACTGAGCAGACAAAATTGATTGCTTGAACCAGTCAAGTTTATTATAATATGTTATAGAATTAAATCTCATCTCGACCTATCTCATATTTACTCCAGTATATTTATTTGTTTTTGAATGTTTGTTCTGAAGCATTTAAAATTTATGTTTGACTTGTTCATTCATAACTGAATACCAAATGAGTGCATGCTGTGAAATTATATTTAATTGTTTTTTTTTTATTTTTTATTAACAATTAATTTATTTTTCAGATATGAGAACAGTGATGATTCTTTTGTAAAACCAACAAACACAAAGATATACGCATTTTGGACACTAGTTGGATTGTTATGCCTTCTGGCCTTGGCAAATATGATTTTGACTATTGTCATATTCAGTGTGTTAAGGTTAGGCCAAGGTATGGAGAGTATGGAGCTACTTCCGGATGAAGGGCTTGTTAAATTTTTTGGCGATTCAAATTTTGGCAAAGTGTCAAAATCTGACGGAAACATAGAAGGATTTGCCGGTAGCGAGACTGAAATAAAAGGAGTGAAGGGTCCCGTCATATTGGAAGTAGAGGATGCCAAAGGAAGGCAGAGGAACACGCTTACTTTGGAACAAAATGGCACACAATTTAAATCGATCAACAGCTTCAAAGTCGGAGATGTTTTTTCCACAGACAACCCCGTTTTCAAACTTTCAAAAAGCAGTGTAATAAGAAATGTTCAATCCAGAGTTATCACGACGAACAAAATAACCGCTCCGCAGGATGAGAAACTCGTTCTTCGGTCGGATACGCTTATCAAAATTAAAGGCAGTGAAGGGACGAAAATTGACGGCAAAGAAATTATCTGGACTGCCGACCAAGAGGTCAAATTGAAGAGTATGAATGGCAGTATCGTTCTAAGCGGGAAAAGTGGAGTTGTAGTCGATTTGAAGAAAATTCCTATTGTCGGAACCACTGGTCTCGGTGGTCCAATTACACCCCAGTATAAGGTATGTGTTTGCATGCCGCAAGGCAAGCTGTTTAAAGTTCCTGTCTCTACAGATTACAACTCACAAGTCGCTTGTCACAACATCGACACATCAACAAACTACAATCCATGCATGTAAATATTTCAAGCCGACTACTGTTGAAAATAGAGCTTTGTACCCTTTATGTATATTTTGGTCGTATATACAAACGCTGGAAATTCCATGTGAATAATACTGTTCCCAGATATAATGTATTAATTAAATTTGTGTCAGCTGACTATTAAAATAAAACATTTTATTTCTTACCCTCGGACTGCCTCAATGGATATTATTATGTGTGTTATGTTTATGAAATAAAGAAAGGAATTAATAATGTAGTATTTGTTTTAGCCTTTTATTATTATTATATATTTTTTCTTCTTCGTAAATGTAGTTTTTATTATTTTTTTAATTTTTATTAGGGTTATTTCGAGAAACACTGGTTTTTGATTCCTTTACAAAAGGTTTGTTTATTTCAAAAATATTTATCCTTTTTTTACATTTCGGGTCTATCTTGCCCATCATCAGAAATCCTTGATAGGAAATAGTCATAACTAATCAAAAATTATAACAATAGTATAATAATATAATTTACATAGTTTTTGTTCGTATTTTTATATATTATTTTATGGTTCAGATTTAATGATAATTACCTCATGGTCTCACTTTTCCTCCTGCAGCATTTTCATCCTGTACAACTTCCAATTGATAAAAATGTACACTAAAATGATTTACATGATATGTTGAGGTTTTTCTGATAATGCACGAGAAATAGCCCAAATATAGAAAAAATATAAATGTTTTTGAAATAATATAACCTTTTGTAAAAGAATCAGAAACCATGCGGCTTCTTGTAATAAACCCTAATAATAAAAAAAAGAAAAGAAATCTCCATTTAGAGAGAAGGAAAAAAAGTAATCAACCGTGTGGAATCTACAATAATTTTGAAAAATGTATGATTAAGTTGCTGTAAAGTAGAATAAGTCTAATTATATATTCAGTATAAATATTTATTATTTTGTACATTTATTCCTATGTATTCTGCGGAGAACAATTCTTTAAATTAAATTAAATTTAAAACATAAAAAATTGTCTGTCTTGGATCCTTCTTTTTGACCAATCTGAATTTTTATTATTTGTTTCAAAAGATACTTTTTTAAAAATATAAATAAGAGAGACAGACTTAAAAAGATGAACCGTTTGAGTCAAGATATCTTATATACACTCAAAAATTCCTAAAAGAACACACTTTTATCAAAGTTTTACAACTATTTTACAAAACGAACAGCTATATTTTTGTATTGATAAATACAAATTGAACATGGTTGTAATATAAAATTAAGAATGAAAATGCTTAAAAAATGCTTAATATGCTCTAATGGTCAGTAGTTTCCATTTGGTCTTCACCGGGGATTTCTGACTCTTCCATTTCCTCGCCTTCACCACCACCTCCTTGTTCGTCCTGTTTGCTCTCAGGGGGTTTTTCGTACGCCTTATCAAGAGGAGAAATGACGACACCTCCCCATTCGCTCGTCTCTGTTATTAAACCTGACAACAGTTAAAATAACATAGAATATCAAGAAATAAGTCATACGATTCTCACAACGTACTTCCATCTCCGTCTAAAATAGGCTTAAAACCAGCGACGGCGAGTATTCTTATCAACGTCTGAGCAGTAAGGCAAACAACATCTTGCTGTTCTAAACTTAACGATGTATGAATTCTTATATTGTTTGTTTCAAAGGGGTCAGTAATACCTAGAAAAAAATTATTTGTGTGCAAATAATCAAATAATGTATAATATTGAATAAATATTTACTGGAAGATCCTGGAAGAAACAGCCCTGATGCCAAAAGCTGCAACACTCGCCTGAACGCAACATTAACAGGAAGTGCCTGCCTACTCGGATTATTCATAATCGAACTGTGCGCCTTTAAAAACAACATCTGTTAGAAATCCTTTAATTAAATATAAATAAATGTAAAAAAATTATCTTTCAAACCAGTAGATCTAATATCCAAGGATTTAGAGGCTCAAATCCTTCAAATCTGTTTCTCAAATCTCTCAGAAGTCGAATAAGAACTTTCACAGTAGAATGCTGCGCATTTTCTTCAAACCATCGACTAAAATAACAATAAAGATAGATAATAACAAAAAAGAACAATTGCTTTGTTGATTCAGTGCCAACCTGTGCCGAATGGCTGCAAGATGCCTTTGCAAAATCTTGTAGTCCATATGAAGTTCAGGATCGAGCTTTCTTAGATTTTGGTGAACGGTTGTAACTAACACCCTAACCGTTGCTTCCGGAGCTCTTATATCAAAGCCCTGTTCTGTGACTGACATGTCTAATACTGTTATAAAAAAGTATATTTTTAGTATGTATTATCAATACAAACAAGATTCTTTTATTAAAAAACACACCTTCTTTAGGGTTTGATGCCTTGAGATCTTCAACAACTCTGTTTCCCAAAGCACACACACATTCTTTTGTCGGAAGGGTTTTTAATATTACAACAATATCTGCGACATTTTTCCCAGTCAACATTGTGCCTTTCTTGAACGAACCGACTTGTCTTGATTCATCTACTTGCTACAATAGAAAATATGGGTTACTATCTTACAAATATATTTAATATAAAATAAAACCTCGAGTACTTACACATGCGTCAAAATTTCCAGGCGCAACAATTAGATTATCAAAGACCGCTTGAATTTTAGTTACTATGTTAAGAACGGCTGCTTGTTCTTGTGGAGTAGGAGTGAGATCAGTGTTTCTCTTAAGCAATGCCTGTAATTTTTGTTAGTTACATGTTGATATTTTTTTTTACAAAAAATACTTTTATATAAAATAATATAATTGAAACTAATAACATTAGGTTTTCAAAAGTTTAGAGTAAGTAGAACAGTAGAATTTGCAATTAAATTTCTGCTATTATCATTTGTTTTATTATTACATTGCTGAAATTTTTGAATAAAGTATATATTCTTTTTGTAAATACTAATTACAAATACTTTAAATACCCAGAAGAGAGATTTTAGTTATTTAAGTTTGTGCTAGATGTTTGTTTTAAAACAATGAGGAATGCCTTTCTTGTTTTTTTTTTAAATACATATTTCCAAATTGTGAACATTGTATATATATTGAAAAATAAATGCATATAGTATATATGTTGTATACTTGTCTAGAAAGTGGAATTTATGCCTATTTATGCAAAACCATCAGAACTCACAATCTTTTCAACATAATCAAAACTGACTCAGCTGTTTGGATCAGAGAGGAATTGTTCTTTGCAATTTGCTTTCTATTGAAACTCTACTCCATTTCTTGGCGGAGTGCTCATCCCTGGTTGAGATTCGGTTATTGCATCTTAGATGCTTCACTCTCGCCAGTGTTGACCTGTTATGGTTTTTCGGTGGCCCAAATTCGTTATGCTAAGCACGCATCGAATTACAGATATGAGTTAATTAAGTAGTTTAAATGTTTGATTTGTATTGTATAACCTTTCTTTTCTCTCTCATTTTAACAGTTGTTATTTCACTTTTCTTTCAATTTATTTCCTAGGCTATTATTATTATTATCATCTTGCTTTAATCTGTATTGATCCATTTATGTTTTAGTGGTCTAATTGACCAAATTACTTATTTCAATTACTTATTACATTTATTTCAGGTCTTGGTTGAGATGAAAAAGTCAGTTTTCTGAGCTGGATTCGAACCAACGACCTTTGGAGACTTTTTCATCTCAACAAAGACCTTTAATTTAAAAAAATTAATTGAAATAAGTCATTTTGCCAATTAGACCACTAAAACATAAATGGATTAATATTTAATACGTAAAAAAGTATCAATTCACTAACAATTCCCCTTGCCAATTCGTAAGTCGCTGAGAATCAAATCCTGATTACACAAGATTGGAAAAATGGCAAAAAAAGGAAAATTCGAAAGGTTGTAGGTAACGATGATGAGCTGTGTCTGAGTGAATCGAAGTCACGATAGCTCAAGTGGTTAGAGCAGCAGCGCATTCATCTGAAGGTCATGGGTTCGAATCCAGCTTTTGACACTGACTTTTTCATCTCAGTCAAGACCGTACATAAAAGAATTAATTTATTCTTTTTATCCCCCCCCCCTTTCTGATTGTTTAACCAATGACCTCTGGCAGACAGATCCAGGATCCATGTCCATAAATGCTTTGAGAGCACATTTGTCATTTTTCTTAAGTCCAATAAAGCATTATTATTACTATTATCGGGTTGGGATAAATTTCTGATTATGTAATCGAAGTTGTTTTATAGTGTGGAAAAAATCGGCAGACCTGTATCAGCATAGAGGAAGGCTTTGGGGGTGTACTGGGACTGCCTCCTGATGAAGAACCGCAGATTACAACGGATATACAGTAATAAATAAATAGGAGATAATACAGTAATAAAAAATAGAGTAATGTGTAAAATGTGCCGGAAAGAGGGAAACTCACTTGAGTGAAGAGTTCGTCATTTACTGCGGGTTTGACTCTTGGAAACTGGGGTTCGCATAGGACCATGTCAAAAGGATGCCTGGGCACGAATTTCTGCACTTTGAACGGGACGCCGCCTCTGCCGCCGATCCCACGGCCGCCCATCCCTCGTCCTCGCCCCCTGGCCATCCTCGGTGCCACGCTCAGGCTCATTTTAACGGTTGGCCAACAAAGAAATCCCGCATCCGTAGACGAGATCGCGGTTGTTGAAGAATCGACCGGGCCGCTCCGAAGAAAACAAAACCGCTGCCGTTTCGACTTTCGAAGACGCGATACGGACGAACTCGTAGACGCGCTGCCGGCCGCTCCGATCTATCGATATTTCTTTATCTTCATCCATCGAGCTTCTGCGCTCTACGTCACTCCGTCAAAAAACACTGACGCAAAATTCCACCCGATTGATTTTTTATTTTTATTTTCTCGATTAAAAAAAAATTCTACCCTTAATTTGTCTCATTGTTTTTATCAATAAATATTTGTTTATGCTATGTTTTAAATTAAAAATATCAATTAAAGGTAAACACAATATTTAATTCAAAACAAGGATGAAGGATTTTTTTTTCGATGTTTCTCCAATCTCGTTTGAATTCTGAAGCAATAATCTGTTTTGTTTTCATCTTTGTTTTCTTAATTTTAGTTTTTAAATTTAAAATTGCCACTGAGTGCTGAGGATGTTGTGAGTGGTGTGGCACTTATTGATGATGGACGTTCCATCAGGTATGCGGCTATTGCCATCGGAGTTCTCTACGAAACTGCGAGACGCCGTAGACGTTTTCGAGAAATTGGGTCCTACCACAGAAGAACCGGTTCTGGGCATCCTATGGTAACAGAACCACAGAATGAGCGTTTTTGACTTTGAGAATTTTACGAAACCGGCACCTTACCGTTGTTCAAGCAATTCATCAGCTCCAGGAAGTTCGAGGTGTCCAAATTTCTCAACGCACTGCTCGAAGAAGATTAAATCAGGGTGGACAGATGGCTTTTCGCCCCGTAAGAGGACCAAAATACACATAGTTGCACGGCTCGTATCTGGTCGAGAAACTAGCTATTGGTCTTAGAACGATTGGTTTGCTGTGGTTTTCACAGATGAATGTAGATTTGCTCTGCGATCCCCATATGAGTATGAAAGAGTGTGGAGAAGGCGAAATAAAAGGTACAAAGCCTGTAATTTTTCTCAGAGCCAATCTTTTCAACGCAGCTCAGTGATGGTGAGGGCGGGAATTTGAATGGAGAGTCGCACAGAGTTGGTTGTTGTTCGTGGAGGGTCTTTGACGGCCACTAGCTATGTGGATGTAATTTTGGAAATCATGCGTTGCCTATCCTCGATGAAATCAGCGATAATCCTATTCTAATGTACGATCCGCTTTTTAAAAAATTAATTCTCATATTTTAAAGTGTAGAAATGCATTAAGTTTATACAATAATCTTGAAGGGGTCGGTGGCGTTGACATGGTGCTCATATCTGTAAGGTAAAGGTCCCGGGTTCGAATTCAGCGGCCTGCATTCGACATGCTTACAAATGTTTTTTTTTTTTCAAAAACACCGGCACCTCCGAGGGTTGATATCATCTCTGCTGTTGCAAACCCTCGTTAAAAAAAATAAATAAGGAAAATAAAAATAATCTTAAAATACAACTTTTTTCCACCGTTCTTAAATTCACTTTATTGCATATCGAGTAAATTTATAATGAAGCGGTTTGAAGAAATTCCGATTGTGGCGCTCGAAGCAATAATTTCACCTCTCAGACTAAAAAAAAAACCAAAAATAATTTTCCCCCAGAAAGTAAACATTTTCCTTTCAACGTCTTTCCTTTATCAAACTAATCAAATGGTACATGATATCTAATGATTGCACTACTTATCATGTACGGACTATTATACATTGGAGGGAAGTGATTCAGTCAACTTTGACCGTTTGTATCATTTCGGTTGCAACTCTTAAACTTAAATCCTAAATAGCGTCTGTTTGCATTTGGCTTCTAAAACCGGTGCCAGGCGCCGATAAGAAACTAAGGACTTTCCTTGACGTCAAAGGTAGGAAATTGAACATTTCTCACGAAATTTTAGGGCGTGTCTCTGCCCTAATATTTCATTACTGTACATGTTCATATGTGCATATAACACGCCGGGAGGTTATATGGATGTATTTTCGTCCCACATTCCAAACTGTTTACATACAAATGTACGACTGTCTGTCCAATTTCGGTTTGAGTTCGATTTGTTTTACACGTTTACAATGTGCTTATATGCCTACTGGATGTAATGAACTTTCTTTTTAACATACCGATTTTATATTTATTCATTTTAAAAGGGTTTGGCTGTGTAGCATCAAAGCGTTTAATTAAATCTGATTCAGCCAGTCAATTTTTGATTATGAAATTGATAGAGGTCCGCCAAGATTTTGATGAGCTACATATCTATGTCGGCAATTAGGGAGTGGGACGGAACAATCGTAAACACAGGTCAATGTGCTTCTTCCGCCCTCTGATTAACAGCATGCGAGTTGGGCTCGTTAATAAAAAGTTTCTCCTTCCAATTTTACTAATGAATTTATTAAAATAATCTATTTGTAGTGGCCCGCTACATTTCAAAGGATAATTCGGTTTTGGAATAATTATATTTCTAATGTACACTGTATGCTTGACTCCGATGGTAATTGTGATTAGCAAATTTAAATCAATAAAGACAGAGCAAGTAGAAAAAAATGCAGGTTTATGGTTATAAAATAAAAACAATAAATGATTTTAAACATTTTTTAATAATAAAATACCCACTAATCACCATCATCTCAATCCACCTCTTCCCATGATGGCAACTTCTCTATACCTATTGAATAAAATTTGAAGTCATTATTAACAAATCCTGTAAACGCATTTTCTAACGACTTTTGATGAATAAATTTTTTATGTTGTAAAATGTCCAGGAGTCTGAAAAAATGGTAGTCAGTAGGAGTAGGTGAGAGGTCTGGAGAATATTGGAGGTTGAGGCAGAATCTCATAACCAAGATCCAACAATTTTCGTGTAAGTCACTTGACTTGGGGCCGAGTTTTGTATAACAGAATCGCCCTTTTCCAATTGACCAAAGACGCCTTCAATAATGGAAATTTCTGGTGCATTGATTCAATTTGAGAGCAATACATTCCGGCATTGGTCGTTTTGCCAGGTTTCAAGAAGCCCCACCGAAGTGTCACAATCACCTTTTTTTATGAGTTGGGGAACTTTGGAAAATGTGGTGTTGCTTCTTTGTCGAGCCACTATCTAGAACGTCCGCTGCTGTCGAAGAGAATCCACTTTTCATTACAAGTAACAATTCTATCCAGGAAAGGTTCCTTTCTGTTTCAACAAAGACGTTGTTTCAAGCAAACCTCATAACGATGATAATGCATGCGGCTAACTTTATTTTGAGCTTTTTCGCCTTCCCGATTACCTTAAGGTTCAACGACGGTTAATTTTCCTAACTGATCTTGCTCAATGTCTCCACCGTGATGAGGACCTGCAATGCCTGTTTAGAGTGTCGGCAGCCTGATGTTTTATGTTGTAATACATTGTCTGAAAAATGGTAGTAGGTAGGCGCTGGAGAATAGGAAGGATGAGGAAGAACCTTTTAACCAAGTTGCAACCAACAGTTTTCGTTTGCCACATTTCGGCATTGATTGTTTCACCAGGATTCGAGAAGCTGTAGTGATCAGCCCAAATGAAGCCCACCAAAGAATCACCAGCACCTTTTTTTGATTTGTGGTGCTGCTTCTTTCTCGAGCCACTGTCTAGAACGTCTGCTCTTTTCGTAGAGCAGGGCTTCTTAAACTTTTTAGCCAGCAGACTCCTTTCACAGAAGAAAATCCAGGACGGACCCATCGCATTCAAGTATTTAAAATTAGTTACTTATAGTATATGTAGTAAATAAATGTAGTTTTATAAATTAGCCAGCCATTCCCAATAAGGTGATGGAGAGAGAAAACAAACTTTAGATTGACATACTTAACTTTATTTACAAAATCCGGAGCACAAAAATAAAATTGGACAGAATGGACTCTCTAGGTAGATAAAACTCGAACCAAATTCAAAAATAATAATTTGAACATTAATGATAAATTAATTAATGGGAGGAGTGAGGTTGTTTTTACTTGCACAAGTTTTATATATTGATTTTAATTTTGATAGCTGGAGACGGATGTCCGGTTCAGCATCTAGACAGCTTCAGTATTTAGATTTTTAGAATTCGCTGGGTACGTTGTGGCAAATGTAAGAAGAACATGTTTTGCTTTTTCAACGAGCGGTTGAAATTTTTTGTTTTCCAATCGGAGTCAAAAATGGGGGAAACGATCGAATCGAAATTAGATTTTACGGTGGAGTCTGAAGTAATGTGTATCAAACATTCGTATGCACTTGAAGACTGCGTTGGCTTTGTCGTAACTGAAAACAGTTTGACCACCCAAGCGTTACAGCGTTGTATCTCGTGCTGTTGGAAAATGCACAAAGGTCCACCAAACTTCGAAGGTGTTCACGTATTTCATCAAATCAACGTGTCGTTCGCAAGCTCTAGTTTTTTTTCTTAAAACATTCTATTTAACGCAAGTATACACTCCATGTCTTCCTTCTCAACAGATTCAACCCAAAACTGGATTTTTCTTTTGAAGGCGAGAACTTTGTCATTAACATAAAAACATAACTTTCCCATAGAAATCTCATCTCATTCATTTTGATGAAAATATCTGATAAAGACTACATATTCATACCATCCTTTTTAAAAATATAGTTCATACTCACAGTAAGTGTCTAGGAACTATTGACTATAACTACTTACTGTGAGTAGGTTGATCTTTTTAAAAAGGATTGAACATCGCACTCACTCCACCATTCATCATTTCTATGTATACTTACCATTTCTCATCAAACTTTGGCCAATTTGACATTGTGGTCCATCAACAATAATTCAGCACGTAATTCCTGTAATCGTGTAAGTGCTTTCCCATGAAACATCTCACTTCTGTGTGGAGAAGCAGGGAATGATGAAGACTTGCTATATCGTCACATGGTATTGTGAAAAGTTTTGACTTCAATGGCCGCGACTTGATATAATTAATAATTTGAACAGTCTCATCCAAAACTTTCTTAAAAGAGGCTGGCATTTGTTTCATAGCTAAAGCATGCCTATGAAGTGCACGACTGCTGCTGCAAAATAAAAAACTTTAGATTTCACTACTCATTGTTATTGGTTTTTAATTTTATTTATTCATTCTACGTATATATTAGTAATTATTAATTTTTCTTGAAGTTCGCCACGGTCCCCCTATGGATTGGGTCGGCGTACCCCGAAGGGGTCCACGGACAAATGTATGGGAAGCCCCGTCGTAGAGAATCCACTTTTCATTACAAGTAACAATTCTATCCAGAAAAGGTTCGTTTCTGTTCCGGCAAAGAAGTTTGTGCAAATTTCCTAACGATGACAATGCATTAGAGTCCCAACTTTCGAGGTTTTTCACATTTCCGATTCCTTAACATGACCAGCAGTAGTCGATTTGCTAACTGAAAGATTCTCTGCAAGTTCTCGAACAGTTGTTCTGGGATTTTCTTAGACAAAAGTTTGCAGAAACCCATCATTTAAGGAAGAATCCTTCCATGACCTTCTTTCTCCCTCTCGAAATCTTTTAAACCATCTCTCCTCACACTGCCATCGCCCCTGACTTCATTAATGTTCCGGTACAGTTCTTTGCTTGGCAGAGGATTAAAAAGTGTTCGCTTTCGTACAAAATAATCCATCAAACGTAAACAGTTTACTATATAGAGGGATAATTGGAAGAAAACATGAAAACCTGCATTATTTTCCGGACAACCCAAAAGAAGTTTAGAGGACTAGATTAGTTTTTATTTAGAAATCGATTAACGGTCACTAATCACCACACAGGACTAGATTAGATTAAATATAAACAAATTACCTTCATTTTTCAAAAACTTGCATTTTCGCAAATAAAATAAAAGTATCCCAGTATTGGATAGGTGGTGACTACTACTGACTGGTTTGTCTACCTATTGTGAGATGTTGCTAATTGTGGCGTGGTCATGAACCAGGAGCTTGTTCCTCCCGTTTCGGCTTCTCAACATCATCAGTGGTAAATTTTCATTGTCATATTTGACAAACCAAAATACTGACAGTCAAACCAAATTCACAGACAACATTCAGATTCGCTGATCAGGGGATGATCGTAAACGTCAAAGCTATTTACACAAAGTTGTATATTACTCAAACTTTTTTTAAAAATAAAGGATTGTTGTACTCACAAAACTTACTTTACTAAGTTTTGTGGTTTTGTAGTAGAACCATCCATTGCAAAAAGTGAATTGATATACTCACCCCACCTCCACTATTTAGAACGAAAACAGACCATTTTCCGCAATAAAATCAAATTCATTACAGTTCGTGCTCCGATTGACCGAATAACGTTTTTCAATTAGTTAATATTTGTATAAGGTATTTGTTGAGATAAAAAATCAGTGTCACGAGCGGGATTCGAACCCACGACTTTCGGCTTGATTGCAAAAATGATCGAAAATTCGAAAGGTGGGGTTGAGATGGGAAGTAGTGTCCGAGTGGATCGAAGTCACGATAGCTCAAGTGGTAGAGCAGCGGCGTATCTAGCCGAAGGTCGTGGGTTCGAATCCCGTTCGAGACACTGACTTTTTTATCTTAACAAATACATTATATGAAGATTAATTAATTGAATAAAATCAAAATTCATCTTAGTAGACAAGGTTTGTTGTATAAATTGTTTTCGTTTAGACAACTCTTTGAGAATAAAAACATTTATTGGAACAAAAATTGATTGGTCTGTGCTAAATTTTGTAAAATCAAATCATTTGTCAGTATTAATAACAAAAGTAAATCGAATAATACTTGTTGGGAGAAAGAGTTCCCCTCTGACTTTCTTGTATGAGCAACCCATTTAAGAAATTATTGCTTATTTATTTTTTAGTCTTCATCGATTATAAAAATAAAACATGTGTTATTTTAAAGTTTATTTTTAAACAGGCACCTTTCTTTTTATTTATTTATGCATTATATTTTAATCGTACATGATAAACGTTTACATTTCGAATACACGTCCTTACAAAAACTTTCTAGAGAAGAAAAATACAAAAGTTAGTTCGATGACGAAATCTGTTCAAAAACTCGGTCCGTTTACTTTAAGGTTTGATTCGATTTGGCTTTTCTTAGATTTGTTGTTCGTATAATATTGCAATGGCTTTACTTGATCCGACGAGAAATAGTTCGATAAAACCGACTCTAATCCCCGAGCCGAATCTGAAGAATATCATCGAGAAGGAATCGCTGAAGTGGATTTTCGTGGGTGGAAAAGGAGGAGTCGGGAAAACGACGTGCAGTTGCAGTCTAGCTTTACAGCTGGCCAATTGCCGTAAAAACGTGTTGCTCATCTCTACGGATCCTGCTCACAACCTCTCGGACGCTTTCGACCAAAAATTCACATGGACACCGACGAAAGTCAACGGCACGGAAAATCTGTTCGCGATGGAAATAGATCCAAACGCGTCCTTCTCGGCTTCGGGGACGTTGGGAAACGCCGAGTTGGACTCGTTTTTTCGTGACGTCGTCAGTGCTTTGCCTGGGGTCGACGAAGCCATGGGATACATGAACGTCGTCCAGCTCGTGAACGATATGGACTTTTCCATAGTTGTCTTTGACACCGCCCCGACAGGGCACACCATCCGGTTGTTGAGCTTCCCGAATCTGTTCGAGAAGTTTTTCGAAAAAGCTTCCAGCCTGAAGCGCCGTTTGGGAGGTCTCTTCGATCAGTTCACCTTGTTTTGTGGCCTTTCTTCGAGCGACGCCGCACCGGCTCTCTCAAATCAAAAGTTCGATCAGATCCTCGAAGGCATGAGGCTCGCCAACGAACAGTTTAAAGATCCCGACCATACGACGTTCATTTGCGTCTGCATCGCAGAATTCCTTTCAGTGTACGAAACCGAAAGGTTGATCCAAGAGCTCGTCAAACTTCGAATTCATACGGACAATATCGTGGTGAATCAGCTGATGGCCAAAGGAAAAAATCAATCTTCTTCTGAAATCAAATGCAATTTTTGCGAAGGAAGGAAAAACGTTCAGGAGAAATATCTGGGGCAGATAATGGACCTCTACGAAGATTTTCACATAACGCGACTACCGTTGTTGGACAAGGAAATCCGTGGGACGACCGAGTTGAAGGACTTTTCAAATTATTTGTTAAAACCCATCCAATTTTCTAAATAAAAATTAATTTACATGAAGTAAAACAAAACTGTGTCAAATAAATATTAATCCAACGCGGCAAGAAAATTGAAATTATGAATCCAGATTTAATGAGGGACGGTATGAGAAGTGTTTCATTTGAGACCAATGGCGGCCAATAACACGTTTATGTTCCACTCCAGCAGAAAGAAATAGGAAATAGCTTGTTTACATTTTTTAATCTGCCTAGTTTCATTTGGGTAAACATAAAACAGTTTTGAATTATATATTTATGCAATACGAGGAAAGCATTTTAAAAATTGATGGTTTACGCGAAGAGATTTACATTGGATTAAAATGCCTTTTTTAACCTTTTACTTAAGAAGTTGAGATTCTAAGAGAACTTGTTGCTTGAATTTTTCCTTTTACTGTATATTACAACTTCCTTCATTTTGGTATCAAGTAACAGTGTGTGTATAAATAAATAGATAAACAAGAATGGAGAAACTGCTATTTTGTGGAGAAACTTATTTAACTCACTGGACAGACGCTACCGTGGCCATCTTCTTTTTAGTTGTCGAGGAGGGTTAGAGAGAATTCGTCGCGATGTTAGGATTTGTATTTGTAGATTTATGCTTGTTGGGAGGTTTGTACGGAATTGTCCGTAACGGGAATGGATTACATCTTGGACAAAAGGAATATTTAGGTCTATGTGGGTAGTTTCGTTGGACATGTAAAAGGGAGCATTAAGGATTTTTCTGAGTATTATGGATTGGGCTCTTTATATTCGGAGGATATTGGAATGTTTGGCTGTACCCCACACTTCCAGTCCGTAAGTCCATATCGGCATCACTAGGGTGTTTACAAAGCCGACTTTTGTTTAAGAGAGGTAGGTTAAAGCGTTTGTCAAGAAGTGAACGTGCTCTGTAACATTTAATAACTTCTTGTCGTTTTAGTCTTGTGTGAGGATTCCACGTCAGACGTTTGTCATTTTCTAGGTACCACACTTTGTCAGCAGTTGGGAGAGGGTATTTTATTGAAGTAGACTGGAGCAGGGATCTTTTTTGCGGATAGTGAAGGTTATGTGTATGGAGTTTTCTGTGTTGAATTTTAACCTTTTTTTCTCCCACCATGACTCATGTAGAGTGAGGTGTTCCTGAGGTTTCGAGTGGAAATGACTGGATCACAGTTGCTTGAAAGCATCGTTGTATCGTCTGCAAAGGTTAGGGTAATGGTGTGAGGATGAGATGGGAGGTCTGCTGTATACACCTGGTACAGTACGGGCGCCAGAACACTGCCCTGCGTTACACCAGAACGAGAAGGTTGGGTAAGACGCCGATCCTTCAATGACTCGGAAGTACCGGTCAATTAGTTCGAAGGATGAGGCAGTAGGTAGAGATGTACATAAACGAGAGCAGCAAGTACTTACCGATTCCATGCGACGATCATAATAGAGGTTTAATTCAAGTGTGAATAGCGGATTTAAAAATCAGTCGTAAAACTGTTTTATTTCCATTAATTTCTTTTACATTTTATTTTAATAATTACTTATTTCCATTTCTATACAACTATTAATTTTGCAACAGTTTAATCAATAAATAACACTGCTCAATAAATTTAAATATATTGTACCATTAAAAATATAATGTCCTTGAGTACACAACATGTATATAATTCGATTCCACCGTGTAGTGTTTAACTGTACCGTTATTAAGTCCATTGAAGTCTGAATGACGGAAGGAATTGTTGCTCAGAACAAAGAATAAACCAATAACAGTACGTGTATATATTTATTACTTTATTGTATAGCGGTCTTTTTAACAATAAGTACAACACGATAAATCGGATGTAGGGGTGATTTTTGAATCAAGGATGAAAATATCGACGTAGTAATCTAGGCCTTTATTGAATGTGAAGTGTCCGTTTTGCAAAAATATTTCAACTCCAACGGGTGGGAATAAAACACTATTTTTGGTACACGATTTAGGAATGAGGGTTTAGTGTCTACGTGGAACGCTTTCCTCCCCAAGCATAGAAATCCGGGCCACGCCGTATAGGACGAAGGAGGGATCCCCAAGAATGCTCCTTAAGGAGAGTATTCGGGAGAAGTCGGAACGGTTGGGCTGATCGCGCTGTTCTTTTCCCTCCCCATGATGAAAATATCGGCTTCCTTTTCCAAGAGCTGTTCGGGTTGGCTCTTTTAAATATCAGCATATCCGCCGTGCTGTTGATAGCCCGTTTACCTCCCCAAGAATTGAATTTAGTCCGTTTAATCATGTCTCGCCAAGTTTCGTCCTCCCGTTTTCCACCCCAACTGTTAAAAGTCGACCTTTTGTCTTGGTCGACGTACTCCACATCATCGTCTTCATCGCTCAGTTTCTCACCCCAGGAAGTGAATTTAGATATTTTGTCTTCTTCGGGATCTGACCTTTTTCCCCCCCATGAATTGAATTTGACCCTCTTCCCTCCCCAAGAGTTGAACTTTGCCCTTTTTTTCCCTTCTTCGTAATCCGCCGGTAATCGTTTTCCTCCCCACGATGAAAATTTACGCTTTCCGCCCCAAGAAGAAAATTTGCTTCTCTTTTCTTCTTCGTCTAAAAGATCCTCGGATCTTTTACCACCCCAAGAAGAAAATCTCATTTTTGGCCCTGGGGAGTCTCTCTTGGATTGCAGCTCTTCTAATATTTCATCGAGTCCAGAAGCTCCCCTCTTATCTCTCCCTGGAACGACGGTTCTATTTTTTTCTGCCATTTCGATCGATTTCGACGGCCGCGAAGAAGCGACGTCATCACATCTTATTGTGTCGCAACTTATGGCCAACCATAACAGACATAGCAACATCAACCTGCAAAAAAAAGAAGAAGAATGCTGTAGGGTTATTTCGTGCGTATTCTAATTAAATAATTACACAAAACACACATTTAATGGTGGTAAAAAATATACACAATACAATATTAAGTATAAAAATTACTTTTAAACAATACGTACATTTTAAGACAACCAAGAAAAAAGTAAATACGTCAAAATATGGTTGTAAGTTTGAGATATTGCGTTTTCACCGTTTTATTTTTAGTCTGTATTTAACACTTTTAGACAATTCAACTAACGATCTTTATTTGCCCTGACTTTGATTGTAATTTTCTTCTGTACCGTACAACAAAGATGAGATCCCTCAGGGCATCGTCTTGTCTTGTTACTGGGAGCAATTACTCATTTAAGAGATGGATTTAGGCGGATTTAGTTCCTCTTTGTTGAGATTTTATTGTTGGACGGAAAGGCATAATAAACTTATATCCTTGTAACGACTCATTAATTTTTGTTAGGATCTTTTTCCGATTTTGTCTTATTGGATGATTTTTGTGAAAATTAATTAATCTTCTCTATCTCTCCTCTCTCTCTTTCTCTCTCGCTCCAATCTGACAGCTTAATGGACCTTGTATGCTTTAAAAAAAATTCTGCCTGTTCATTTGTACACGAAAGTCCTCTTTACCTTTTTCCATAAACAACGGTAACCCGCTCTACTCGTGTTACTGCAAAAATAACGAATATTAAATTCCTATAGGAAATGATTTGCGAAAAAATCTCTAATTGGTGTTTTTTTTATTTTTATTTAATTTTAATTAAAGGAATTATCTATTATTAATAATTTCATTTCTTTTTGGTAAAGTAACAAAAATATACAAATAAAAAACATGTATCGAAAGGTGCACTTGATAATATTATGGTAGGAATTTAGTTTTTTGCATCCTTAAAAATGTTAATAATTTTTATGTTTCCAATCTTAATCAATAAGAATAGGTGGTTCTATTTGTTGATACGTTGAAGTTGAGGTGAAGAGGAACGTTAAACTCTATTATAAAAGTATATAGGGTAACAGGCATGCTAAAACAAAGAGTTTCAATCTCGTTAACATCCGTTCCACATTTCCCTTCATCAATCTATAAGTGCTCTTGAGAGTGGATTATTTTAGACGGGTAAATGATACGTTGCAGAATTCGCGTGATTTTTGGTCTGATTTTATTGTAGAAATTGGTCACAGTTGGAAATTTGAACGTTCAAACGCAAACGAGCATCGCATCTATTATGCACAACGTTTAATCATGGAAAAACATTTTTCAACGTTATTGACGTTACATTTTTCATTATTTTTCGGAAAAATGTTTCCCCTTCAAAATTTTAATTATCCCCTTGCTATCTAATTCCTTTACGTGAGCTAGCCTTTCAATTTAATTATTCTGCATTCAAAACATACTAAATTGTCTCAATTGTTCCTAATAGCCGGCCCATCACATTACTTGAAAATGAGAGGCTTGATGGATGTTCAAGTACATGTTTTTCTTTGATAATTACTTTTATCACTCTTAATCATGACCATACACGCATTGCCTGTTTTTCTAATAGCTGACACTAAATTAATTACCTAATTGTTTTTATAAACAAAAACAAAATAAAATCCCTACTTTTAATAGTATAAATTTCTAATCTATTAGCGCGAAAGGAAGTGTTTGCTTAATCCCGACCCGTGTAATATCGAGTTCTCTGGAGTGAGTATGACGTCGGAGAGTAAAATGAACTTATTAGCGAGAATGGAGTGGGGTCAATCCCGCCCCGAGGAATATCAAAATATCAAGTACTCTGAGGAAGTGGAAGTGACAAGACTTCTATGTTTATATGGGATGATTATATGACACGTATGTATATATGTATGTACTGTGTCTATTCTGAAGTTGATAACCTAATGTACAAATGAGGGGCTGGCATTTTAGGATACCGACTTAGTTTTCAGTCAGTAATAGTCAGTAATAGACGCTCAAATGACTGCAGGCCGAAAAATAGGCGTAAAAGACCAGAAAAAGAAGAAAATGCACGCAGAGGGCCAGCGATGACCTCAGCTGTATGTCCGCCCTTTATATAGGGATAGTATGAAAGAGGCGGCCACAAGGCCTACTGCACCTCGATCTGAATAGATCTAGTGTTCCCCTGTTATTTATATGTAACTCGCTGGCCAGCTTGTAGGATCTTGCTTGCGGTTTTTCTTGTCCTAGTGGCAAGAACTTGCACCTACATCACAGAAATATAGGTGTTCTGCGGTCTCCTCCTCTTCCTGGCAGTATGTGCAGTGTTTCTTCTGTCTGTACTCCTATCCGGTGCATGTGCTTTCTTAAGTGGCAGTGCCCTGTTAGGAGTCCAACCAGAATCCCGGCTCGGTAGCGGTTGCCTTCTAGCAATTATTTTGTAAAGTTTTGCGGATGGTCCTTTTATTCATACCTGTGGTATTGTTCCACCAGGTTTTGGACTCATTAAGACTCCATTTTAAGATGTATCCTCTTTTGTGGCTGGATGCTAAGCCACAGTATGGTTCTGGATCCAGAGTATAACTTCTAATTGTGTGTGGAAGAATTGACCAACAGAAGTTAATTTTTTTTGAAATATTGAGATTGTAGACAATGATGGCACATGATAGAAATAATAAATATTATAAAGGTGGGGTGAGTATGTCGATTCACTTCTTTTAAATGATGGATCTACTCGCTTTTTATTGTTTATAACGATTTCGAGAATTAAACGCTCATCATCGGGTTGAATAAATTACAAACTCGTCTCTCGACGTGAATTGTATGACTGGCCAATCGACTGCCAATACGACATTCACACCAAACAACACAGGGAGTTAACAAGATTGGTTTGAGAAAATACAAATAAATCAAATGTAAAAGTAAACATGGAGATAAATGTATAAATAATATCACAGATTTTGATTAACCAACTATTATAAACATGTGCCTAAATAATATTTAACATACAATTAATCACTAATTTAAGCTTATTTTCTGACTGAGATGAACTTCATGTGTATTCCAAAGCTTATTATAGGTATTTAAAGTCTGACCAATTAATTGTTTTGTGAAAATTGTGAAACCAAGCTATTTTTTTAAAGCCCATTTATAAGTACGTCGGTTCGAATGCAGGGCCGCTGGATTCGAACCTGGGACCTTTACCTTACAGTGATGAGCGCCGTGTCAACGCCTAAACCGTTGGGGCCACCGACGGTTCTAGCGGTACGCCCTTTTCTTTAATTACATCAAACCAAAATGCAGTAATTATATAATAAATGGGAAAAAAGTGGTGACGGCGTGACAAATGGGAATGGGGTTAATCTAGTGATTCAATTTTTTTTTTTATCCTGGGTGCTTTTCACATTAACTTAATTCAAAAGCACAAAAAGAAAGAAAAACGAAAGAAAACACATAGAAAAGAGACATTAAACTTAACGAACAATCAAAGCAGAAAAATTGGACAAAATATCTACACTAAACACTTAACCAAATTAAAAAAAAGAACAACAATACCGAAGTTGTAAAACCGATCTCTAACTTAATAAAAACGACAAAAAAGTGACCATACAAAACAAACAGACCATAAAAAAGAGACAATAAACATATTGAACAACGAAATTATGTTGAAGTTTTCTTTTCTTTTTTGTCCTTACAAGAAGACACCTGCACACATATGAAGAAACAATGTGCCCGTACGTCTAGGAAGAAGAGGAGACAGAAGAACATATTTTATGATTTTGTGAGGGTCTGTGTAGGTACAGATTCATGCAACAAGAAAGGAAAAGACGCAAGATCTACATTAAGGATCCGCCGGCAAGGTTGTGGAGGTTGATTAAGAACCCGAAGCTTGCCAATTATTTATGAAAATAGACGAGCACCCTGTACCTAAGTGTGAATACAGTTGACAACGGATGAAAGTAAACAATGTCACTTTGAAAGATTAACTATTTATAGGTAATTCAAACAAAATCGGATCAGATTTTTCACTTGGGTGCTATTTAGCCCAACAATACTATTAGGAAATTAGAAGTCACAAATTTAACAACGTTTTTTAATTTTAAATTCAACAAGTCCTAACTGCGGACAAGGTGCGGTAACTCGGACTGTACATTGGCAAACGACTGAAATGTCAGGAGGTTATAACACGACATAGAGCTCTTGCACGACTTCTTGACAAACGTTCTAATTTACCTCTCAAAAATCAAAATTACATTGTTGCTTTACAACACCATAGTTAAGATGGTACGGTCTTACGGACTGGAAATGTGGGGTTCAGCCAAACATTCCATCATCCACCATACTCAAACTGCTCAGTCCTTAATACTAAGAAAAATACTAGACGCTCTATTTTATTTATCGAACCTAACTACACATACAGACTTACATATCCCTTTCGTTCAAGATGAAATCCGTTCCCGTTACCGTAAATTTCATAAATACCTCCCAACTACCGTAAATTAGAAAAGTCGCATCCCGACGTATCCCCTCAATCCCTCCCCACCGACTGAAGAGACAATGGCCGCGAGATCTCCTAGGAAGTGATGGTGATGATAGTTAAAATGATAATGATACAAGTATCAATTAAACAGACAATATTTTAGAAACATTGGAGTAATACCAATGGGTGTTTTCTCCACTCTTGGTTTTAATTTTGTATATATTACCTTGATCACTGTTACTTGATACCTACTGAAGGTAGTTGTAATGTACTGCAAATTATATTTAAAAAAACTATTATTGATACATTCATGCTTTCCGCTAATTTCATTTAATCTTCTCAAGAAATCTTCTCAATCTTCTCTTCTTCTCTCTAACATACTTGCGCTTTTTTTAAAAATCTCATGAAAATAATTCTTAAACAATCGAAAAAAGAAGAGAATTTGAAACATCTTTTTAAAAAACATTTTGTTCAAAATTAATACGGACAAAATCATCAAAAAATAAATACACAAAATGTGATATTTTTGTCGATGGGTTCCGAGGTTAATGGTACTGGTAGTGACAGTAT